TTTTTATTACTCAATTTTTCTTCTATTTTCATTTTTTGAGACAGGATTTCTCTGTGTAAATTTTATCTGTCCTATATACCAGGTTTACTTTGAAATCACAGAGATCTGCTTGCTTCTGTCTCTCGAATGCTGGAATTAAAGGTGTGTGCCACCACAAGTAACTACTCTCTTCATTTTTTTTAAACCACTTTATCCTGTTTCTTTTTCTCTCCCAAGCCTATATATATTTTAAAACACACTGTAAACCTTTAGAGGTTTTTCTTAATCTGAATTGTCTTACTGTAAATTTTTATCTTTTTCTGTCCACGAGTCTTTATCTGGTAAACAACAACATTGCTAAAATGAAAGCCACAGCTGTATTAGCTGCAGTCTATGCAAGATGGCGGTGGGTACTTTTACCGCCAGAACTGACTGCTGTGCTCACTGCCTTGGTCTATGCTGCCATCTAGCATCATGCTGCCGGCTTGGAGATGTGGTCACTGCCATTGCCTGCTCTCCTACAGAACATTAAGTTGTTAGCAGAGCTCTTTAAAAGCCTTTCGGTTCTTTGCTGCTTATGCTGAATCAGGAAACCTCCCTTAAAGGAGCCATGCAAATTTCTGCTTGTCTCTTGCAAAACAGAATCCAACTGAGAAAAATGCTGTTACCAGAAGTCTTGCTTGTCTTTGTTCTTTTGTTTCTAAAACCCTTTCTTAAGCTTTTCTTAAGTTTTAAGTGGAAGTTCTTATTAGCCACATGGGTGCTATTATGCTATATGAGTAGGGTTTTCCTTGCTGGTCTGGCCCCACCGCCACACCAGGCCCAAATAACGCACAGACACTCTGTATTTGATATAAATGCTGTTGGCCAGTTACTTGTTTCTTATCGGCTAGCTCTGTCTTAATTATTAACCTATTTATATTAATCTAAGTACTTCCACATGGTCTTATCTTACCGGAGAGAGGGGCTGGTGTTCTTCTCTCTATCCTCCATCTTGGATCTCCTCCTTACTACTTCCTCTCTCCTCGTCTCCTAGTCCCGCCTATCTTGGTTTCCTATTGGCCAACAGTGCTTTATTCATTAACCAATAAGAGAAACAGATTTACAGAATGACATCTCCCATCAGGTACCCTATATTTACACAGCAGACAGCTGCCTCTTGCAAGCTCACTGCTCTCTATTTCTTTGGACACCCAGCTTCTCATTTGAATGTGGTGACCTAAGGAGCAATTCAACCCCTAAAAGTAGCTTTTCAATTTGCTTTCAGAGGCACTGTCCTAGACTTCATAGGTGGTGCCTGCTTCCCATTTCATCACCGAATCACTGTAACATTTGTATGTTTGATACCATCATTGATTTCAATTGTCCTGTACGGGACAGCTGATCTTGGCAGAAATAGAGGCAGTCTTCTTGCATGGTGTCTTCTCCTTTGCTCTGTACCCTCAGTCTTCTTCCTCCCTGTCTGTCTTCTTTGTATGTCTTCTGTATAATATTTCTGTTGTGTGTAGAAAGATACAAAACCTGAGAATTGGTTCATGAAGCACCATCCTTTCTTACATGAGCCATTCATAATACTTGGAAGTTAAGCAGACCTGGGTTTCAGAACTGACTTCCAACAGTAGTGCCGGTATAAAGCAGCAAGGAAAAGTGCTGTTCTTTCCATAGATGTTAGGCATGTCAATGTCCTTGGTATCTGCAAACTTAAGTAGCTCAGGAAGCTTCAAGAGTATTCATTTCAGTCCTAATCTTTTTGTCATAATAAATTCTTCATCTCAGTTTCTTTTTATTTCTGTATTGATTTAAGGATGTGGCTGTACCCTTGTTTTTCTTGTTCTGTTTTTGTTGATTTTTCACCAGTGATTAATTAGCTCCACATTTGTTATAAAAATAAGAGGAAAGGTACGATAAATTATATTAAAACATACTAGAGAGGGGGAACACCAAAGAACAATTTTTGTATCTCATGGGTTCAGTATTCTCAAAGTGGACGTTATGTATACTTTCAGGAGTGGTGATATTCAGAGTTAGGATTTGAGTGAGACTTGTAAGATGAGAATATTGCATTACCTTTTGCTGCCACTATGGGAAGTATTTGAGAGAGATTGCTATACCTATTTTAGAAGCTGTGATCAGCTCTGGTTAAAAAACAAATACATCCCAACATGCTACAGTTAGATATCTCTAGAACAATGGCAGGCTTGTTGATACAATTTGCATATTGTATTAGACACAAGACAAACTTATTGGTCACAAGAGAGAAGCCTTTTGTGGTTGGATCAGTCAATATGTATAAAGAGATTATTCCACAGCAGTTTTATAATGGGGAAGTAATGTGTGCCCTCCATGAAGTATCATCAATTGGTTTTTGTTTATTTGTTTTTTTGTTTTATTTTGGTTTTGAGACAGGAAGTAGCACACACCTTTAATCCCAGCACTCAGGAGGCAGAGGCAGGCGGATTTCTGTGAGTTCGAGGCCAGTCTGATCTACAGAGTGAGTTCCAGGACAGGCTCCAAAGCATCATGGCTTGTAACACGTGGTTGAGAATCTCTGGAACCATTTAATAGTTCCTTACTGATGTTGGTGAAAGAAAGCCTTATTTTGATTTTATACTTGTCTGCTTCAATTCCCATCACTGGAAGCATGAGGGCAAGCACAGGGGAACAGTGAAGGAGGAGATGACAGTAAAGTAAAAATACTATGTGTTTTCTTAGTTGAGACATGCTTCCTGTTTACCCACATAAATGTTGCAGTTGAGTTGTTTTTAGGTTTTGTATGACATTCAAACAGTGATGTAGCTACTATCTCCTTGATCTTTGATGGAGAACTGTAGTTGAAGTTGACCTTGTCATTTAATTTTTATGGAGCAGAAATACAAAAAAGAAACAGCTGTCAAGTTTGTTGACTTAGTCGATCTTCCAGGTGTTTCTGTGACACTGTAAATGGAAACCACAAATCCAGTTTGCTTTTTATGTTGGTTGTTCAGCTCTGCAAGTTGTTCCTGATCCATGGTCCTAAAATTAGAAGGCTTTGTATTATAGTAGATGCTGTTGTTTCTCCCTCTCATCAGTCTTTGAGTAGCAGTTTCTCCAGTCAAATAACCCATTTTATCCTACTAATTTGTATAGGAAAAACATCCCACCCATCTTTTTCTTAGGGGTTCCTGTTGCTTTTACAAGAATTTCTCAATACACAGTATCTCAAGAAGCCATCCGCTGTTATACACTGCTTTATTTATATAAGGTTTCTTCCACTTTCTGTATATCAGAAACTATGGCTATTGGTGGTGATGTCTTAAGTTATGCTGAGTAGTGAATATATTTGCATAGACATTGGCTTTATTTTCTGTTACTTTAGGGTTGTGTAAAAAGTTATTTTCATGCCTGTATACTTGAACCACCTTGAAATAAAACAGTGTTCTCTAGAAAAGACCTTAGTGATTCTTTTGCATATGAAAAAAACTTTATAAAACATTCATTTAAACATATTACTACGTCAAACTCTCCAGTGGTTTGGGTTATTTTACCAAAGTATTTGATGCACTGGAATGGTTTTACTACTATCTTGTTTGAATGGGTGTTTTGCCTGCATACATGACTGTCCTAGTTAGGGTTTCTATTGCTGTGAAGAGACATCATGACCATGGCACTCTATTTTATGTATGAGTGAACCTTGACACTCTTATAAAGGAAAACATTTAATTAAGATGGCAGCTTACAGTTTCTGAGGTTTAGTCTATCAGGGGGTATGGTGGCCTGCTGGTAGACATGGTGCTTCTGGTAGACATGGTGCTGGAGGATGCCACATCTTCATCCAAAGAAAACAGGAAGTGAACTGTCTCACTGGGAGTGGCTTGAGCATATGTGAGACTTCAATGCCTGCCTCCATAGTGACACTCTTCCTCCAACGAGGCTACAGTTCTTTATAGTGTCATTCCCTTTGGGGGCCATTTTCTTTTAAAGCACCACAATGACTAATTTAGGTTTTTAATTGATTGTTTTTAGATACAGGGAATTAAGTGGGAACTAGAGACACGATTTAAACAAACAACTTGAATAAGGACACTAAAGAATGGCTGGTCATTATTGTTAGGAATAAAGCGGGTAGGGAAGGCATGTGGCAGGTCCTGCTGTGGTGGTGGACAGTGGGAGAATGGGAAACAGACCTGTAGATGTGACTCATATTGAAAGTTTTATTGAGGAGAAGGTAAGAAAGTAAGGGGAGGGAAGAGAAAAGAGGTAAAGAGACATAGACAGAGAGGACAGAAGGGATGGGGGAGACAGAAAAGTCCTGCCTGCCCCTTCAGAGGAAATCAGGAAAGAGAGAACTCGAGTGGAGTTTTTCTTTTAAAGAGCCAGGGTACATAGACCTATCATGATCAGGTGGGTGAGAGGCAGGGCCAGGTTTGCCTGGGTTACAACAATTATGCCCTGGTCAAAGTGGAGCTCAAAGAACTTTCCTGTCTAATAGTAACAGAGAAGGAGCTATATTGTCATGGATTTTACCAATTTATTTACCTATTTAAACTTTATACTGTGTGGTACCTCACATCTATAGTCTCACAACTCAAGAGGCTCAGGTAGGAGGGTTGTTGTGAATTTGAGGCCAGTTAGGCTGCAGAGTGAGATTCTGTCTCAAAAAGAAACAACTTTGTGATCTACATGTTTATGATTTGTCAGATTTTTTTCCTTGACTGTACTAGCACTGTGGTAATTTCACTTATTTAAACTGAAGGATTCCTTAGGGCACGTTTTTCAAATGTCAGTATTATCTTAGAAGGGTTTTTGAACTGCACAGCAGTATTTCTGATCCAGTAATTCTACTGTGAACCTAGAAGTTTGCACCTCTTAACAGGTATAAAGATGATGCCAGTACTGTCACTCTGTAGGCAGCTCACTGAGAGCCACTGTGGGACATACTGATGTCTACATCACCAGCCAGTCTGTGTGTATTCAGTGAGCGCCCTGGGACTCTCAGCTGGTGCCTCAGTGCCCGTTTAACACTCTGCTCTCTGCCTTCATAGATTGGAGCCTATGATCAACAAATATGGGAAAAATCTGTTGAACAGAGAGAAATCAAGGTAACAACTTTGTTTCATTCTATTTATTTTGCAGCAATTCTATAAGTTGACTGTCACTTTGTCATTCCATTTATTTTTACCGTATTAGTTAATCTTTATCTGAATTTTAAGAGAGAAACCTATGATTTTATAGGTTTACCTTTTAATTGTTTTGTTTTACTTTTTAGCATCTTTTGTTCTGTTTAAATTTAATTTCTAATGGTTAGCTTTTGCCAGCTTTCCCCCTTTCTCTTGTCACCTTATACTTCTAGTTTGCTTTTCCTCCTCTTTGATTGCTCTGGACAGTTTATTAGACTGGTAAGTGTTCAGGATGTTCACCACCTAGTGACTCTGCAGATGACGCTTTGCTTAATAGAGATCGCTCGTTGGTACTACTAACAGCGTGCAGAGAGTTGCTGAATTTTAAAAGAGCTTTAGGAAATAGAATAGTTCAAATGCTTTGATTGCAGGCATTTTCTTCCTGGACATGTGACTACTTGTCTTATTCTGATTGGATATTCTCACAGACTATCTTGCTAGCATGAAAAGAAAAAGTTTTAAAGCTAAATTTGTTTCTTTGCCTTCTTTGATAATAAAATTTATATATTTTTCATATGCTTAGCTACTAATCAGTATGTTCTTGCACGAGCTAAATTTAATTTGGGCCTAGAGACTGTTACTGTAGTCACTTGCCATTTTCTATTTAATATAGAAATATATTAAAAACTAGTATCTATAGTTACTTAAAAATCTGTTCAAAAGATTTGTTGCTGTTCAGACCATATCGTCTATGAGATAGGAGATCATTCTTTGATACTTAATAATTTTAATCTTTTAAGTTTTTTATGAAGAATTTATACATTCATTTAGCAAAGTTCTGGCATATTTTTAAAATGGGATTAAAGGTTACTAGGTCAGAAAGATAGAGAAGCTATAATTTTGTAGGTCAGGTCTTTTATTATGAATGAGATAAAACCAGTGAAGAGATAGGCATACGTGTTCACTCTCTACAGGGTAATGTAAAAGGAAGATGTGTGAGGTTAGGAAAATTTCATAGACAAAGCATCTTATGAAAGGAATTTGATACATTGTCCTCAGTCAAAGGAAAGACATTCCAGACAGACAAAGGGCATTAGGAAAATATTCAGGAAGGAAAGGAGGAGGGAGGAAGACTGAGTAAGGAACCCTTGAGAATTTGATTTAGCAATTGGGTCGGGGAAGGCGATGAGGATGTTAACAGGAAGTCAGAAATAAAAATGTCAGTGTATGGTTAGGTTTGAAACCTACCCCAAGGACTTAGCCATAACTTTGTAACAGTTGGGAGGATACTGAAATATTTAAAGCAGAAAATTAAAATTACATTTTTATAAATTCTTTCAAGAGTGATCAATATGATAGGAAGTATTGAAAGAGAGATTTAAAATTGCTTTAGGAATAGCCGGGGAGTCCTTGGTATGCAACATTTGTGTATGTATAGGCATGTGTATATTGTATATATTAAGTATTATATGCACATAAATTGAGTGTTTTACATCATATATAGAGTCTATAAGTAAAAAGAATTTTATTGGTGAGGGAAGAAAATGATCAAGAAGAGAACAATGAGAAATACCAGTATTTAATGAGTACTTGAAGAAGGAAGGAAACATGGGAATTAATTCCATTAGCAGGCATTCTGGTGGTGTGAAGAACTCAAAGTGAAGGGCCATAGAGATGGTGATTAGTGGTTAAGAGATCTGGCTGGTCTTCCAAAAAGAGGGCTTAGATTTGGTTTCTAACACACCCCAGTGCCACTCTCTTTTGCCTTCCATGGACATTGAATGTACAAAATAGACATACATGCAGGAGAAGCACAGAATGAAAATCAGCATTGAGCAAAGAAGAATATGAAGAGGAGGAAGAGGGAGAAGAAGAGCTGGAGCAGGTGAATGAAAGTAATTCCAGAGCTGCCATTTCTCAGTCTGAGAATAGGAATTTTAAAAAGTGCAGAGAAGGCTGCAGAGCAAATAGAACCTGTCTCACACCAGCGTGGCAGTGCACATTAGTGTAGAACCTGTCGCACACCGGTGTGGCAGTGCACATTAGTGTAGAACCTGTCGCACACCAGTGTGGCAGTGCACATTAGTGTAGAACCTGTCTCACACCGGCGTGGCAGTGCACATTAGTGTAGAACCTGTCGCACACCGGTGTGGCAGTGCACATTTAAAAATTACTATGGCCAGTACAGAAAATTAACAAAACTAAATCCAGGGGAAATAGTGTATATCAAGGAAATATCCAGTCTACATTCTTTGGACTGCACATGTGAAAGGACAAAAACACAGAGAATGTATGTTTGAGTATAAACAGTAGTGAATGAACTTGCAATTATAGAATGTGAAGACACGAGGTCACCTGTATGAAAATGCTGGTATTCTGTTGTTATATCTCTGGGTAGCTTACAGCTTGTAATGGACAGAATATGTGAAGGGGTCAAAGGCTAATAGCTTCTTGACTCAAGGTACACTTTTGGTTTAGACATGTTAGCTAACTCTGACTTACCCTGTCCTCTTGCTTGATTTATATGCAAATAGTTCTTAACCTTCAGGGGCCATTGTCACCGTGGTGGGACCAAAGGACTACTGCACAATTGCTAATTGAACAAATAATTTAACAGTCCTTTAAACCCGAGTGTCATCCCTGTCTCTTGGTTCCTGAGAACTTTAGTCTGAGTTTATCTGGTTCTCAACTTAGTGTAATTTATTTCCCCATACTTTTGTTTACACCACTGATTTTTTTTTTTTTTTTTTTTTTTTTTTACATTCAACCCCACTCTGCAGTGATAGCAGAAATTTGGTGTTAATTAAAATACAGTAATTTCAATTTTAAATTAATTCAATTTATGACAGCTGTTTTCCCTGCCCCCGTTCCTGGTCATAGCATTTAGTTCTGAGGCGAAGAGGTGACATTACAGTCTGAGCAGTGGCTGGGGGCTTTTCTGGTATCACCCTACATGCTAGCATATGCTGAGAAATTTGCAGCCCTGTCTTCCTCAGCAGCACTCCCAGCATCCCATTTGGAGTGCCTTTGGGGACACTACTCCTCACTCACCCTCACTACTTTCTTAATGGCAGACTAAGGCCAACAGTCTTCTAGGTTGTGTAGGGCGTAGGCTGTATGCTCATACTTGCTTTGTGTATGACAATCTTTGATTTGGAAGTTTACTTTCTATAACAAACAGGCTCTGCATGTACATATATCCCTAAACATTCCTTTTGGAAAATAATGAAATTATTGGAATGCTATAATTGTGTTCTGTTTGTAACACAATACAATCTTTTTACTTAATATGTTACTTCAAGATTTTATTTTAAATTGAGACTGGTATAAGTTGGTTCCCTTTTTGCTGTTTTGGATTTAAACAAAATATACGTAGAATTACAATACTGCTTTTGATATATTATAGGGGTTAAGGAATAAACCAAAGAAAACTGCACATGTGAAACCGGACCTCATAGATGTTGATCTTGTGAGAGGTAAGTCCTAGATAAGTGTGTGTTCCTGAAGAGACAATTCAGAATGGGTTAGATAGGCACCTTTGTAGAAGTAAAGGTATCCTAATCTACCTGAGAACAGAATAGCATAATTAAGAGAAATTAGAAACACCAATTTATCTTTTCTACCTTGAAATAACAGTTTTTGTTTGCATAGAAAACTGTTAAGGATTTAATATTAAATTTAAGTTATAGCTGGGTGTTGTGGCAGATGGCTGTAACCCCAGCACTTAAAACAAACAAACGAGTGAATGAATGAATGAATGAATGAATGAACAAAAGAATGAAAGCAGGGTTAAATTTGGTAGCCCTGTGTGATAGAGAATTGAACTGTGTAGATCATGCTTGCCTCTGCATCTTGGGTGCTAGAAGATACATTCTTGCATATGGAAGCTGGAGTGTGACCTTCAGTGACTTCCTGTACTGTTTCCCACTTTATTTACTGAGCCAGTGTCTCCCTTAGCCCAAACTTCTCTGATGCTGTGACCCTTTAATACAGTTCCTCATGTTGTGGTGACCCCCAAACATAAAATTATTTTTGTTGATATTCCAAAACTGTTGTTTTGCTGCTGTTATGAATCATAATGTAAATACCTGACATTCAAGATAGCTGGTATTTGACCCCTGTGAAAAGGTCATTCTACTCCCAAAGAATGACAGCCTGCAGGCTGAGAACCCTGGCTTAGAGCTTTCAGATTTAGCTTGTTTGCCCCAGGCAATCCCGTGTCTGGTTCATGGCGCTGGGATTTTAGGTTTGGTCACTCACTGCCAGGCACCTAAATTCTAGTCCTCAGCTTTAAGTGAGCCATCTCCTAATGAATTAAAATAAGTCCTATTTTTATGAAATATGTATGGGGAATCCTGTTATCTCAGCTGGTTATTTTCTTCAAGCTATCTTTGGAGTATGGTAATGAATAAGATTGCTTTTGAAAATGACTGCTGTCCTATATTAGATATTTTTTAGTCATAGAATGAAATAAAATTATATACCAATGCTTTTCAAACATTGAATTTATTTCTGTAGTGAAATTAAAGAATAGTAGGTAGAGTCTGCCATTTATTTTACTTTTTTTCTCAGGGTCTGCGTTTGCTAAGGCAAAGCCTGAAAGTCCTTGGACTTCTCTGACTAGAAAAGGAATTGTTCGAGTTGTATTTTTTCCCTTCTTCTTCCGGTGGTGGTTACAAGTAACATCGAAGGTCATCTTTTCCTGGCTTCTTGTCCTCTATCTTCTTCAAGGTATAATTAACAGAAATGTATGTGCTTCTAACTTTTGGGACATTGTATTTTTACGATTTTTAAAGGTTTGCTCTGAACATGTACCAATTGTTCCTGTGCATGAAGTGACTGTTGCTGTTACATACAAACTACTAGACATTAAAACATTGGAGGGCTGGTGAGATGGCCCAGCAGACCGTGAGGCTTGTTGCCAACTCTGACAGCCTGGTTTTCCTGTATGGAGGCTTGTCAGAGGGAGAGGACCAATGACCAAAAGTTGTTCTGGGACCCCAAATATACTCTCTGTAAGGGGGAGGGGTGAGGGAGTGTAATTAGACGAAAACTTTTGTATCCACACATAGATATACAATTGTGTCTGTGTAGCTGATGCTGACCTTGAAGTATGGCTTTAGTTTCTGAGTTAAGATCATTGCTGGAGGGCATCATGCCTGCGCATCCTTGTACTTAATTTATTTTTGATATTACTTGTGCAAATTAATTTTTATTGCCTAATGTATGGTTTTATTTTTCTGTGCCCTTTACCACTGTGATCTGACCTATCCTTATTTTATATCAGAACTTTAGTTTTTATCATAAAGTCTTTTAAGTCTTTCTCAGATTCCTATTTAATGTCTTCAATAACCCAGTAGTGTAGAAAGACTGTTATGATGTCTACCTATGTAGACTTGGCACTTGAAAACCCCGAGGCTCTCAGACCTCACTTCTCCCATGTAGTCACCAAGAGTTCAGATCTAAGCATTCTGACCCCTTGGCCACAGAAACACTCTCACAGAAACACTATTACAGAGTGTTTCTGTGAAAATGCACTGGATGACATTTCTGAAATTTCACCTGGTATTATCTGTGTCTTCTGATTTTTTTAAAAGGGGATTTGGTTTGTGTATATGAATGTTTTGCTTATATGTATGTGCACCATATGCATGTCTGGTGCTGCGGAGGTCAGAAGAGGGCATTTCCCCGCTGGCCTGAAATTCACTTTGTAGACAGCCTGTCCTTGAATTCACAGAGATCAGCCTGCCTCTGGCTCCTGAGTGCTGGGTTTAAAGGTGTACGCCACCACACTTGGCAACATAGAATAACATTTTAAATTTTAGGAAAAGAATTTAGTAAGAAGTATTATGAGAACAATTTTTAAAGTTTTGAAAAAGTGACTACAGATCCATAATTAAATGTATTTTCTCTCTCCATTTGTAGTTGCTGCAATAGTATTATTCTGTTCCGCTCCTAGCCCACATAGCATACCTCTAACTGAAGTGATTGGGCCAATATGGCTGATGCTGCTCTTGGGGACTGTGCATTGCCAGATTGTTTCAACAAGAACACCCAAACCTCCTCTAAGCACAGGTGGTAAAAGAAGAAGGTACTGCTTGTCCACAAACTGATCTTTATAGATACCTGTTATTTAGATAAGGGATTTTTATTTGTGTATGTGCATGCATGTGTGTGTGTCTGTATGTCTGTGTGCCGGCCCAGGTGCCCATAGAGACTAGAAAGGCATAAATCCCCTGGAGGTGGAATTGCAGGTGGCTGGGAAGTGCTGGATGTGGGTGCTGGGCATGGAACCTAGGTCCTTTTCAAGAGCAGCAAGCGCTTTCAACCAGTGAATCCCACTCCAGCCCTTGGGATTGATCTTAACTACTCATAATAGAATACAACTTTTAAAAGTTGCTCTTTCAGATAAAACCCAAACTCCAGTCAGTTACCAGATGATCAATTTTCTGTATATGTGTCACATACATGTTCTTGTATAGTCATCTTTGTTAGTTTGTTTTTCTTGAGGTTCATTTCTAGTTAGCAGTGCCAATATAGGAAATAGATGGTATAATAGGTGGTATAAATTAAATTTTACTACTGAGAAAATCTTGTGTTTCTAAGATTGTCTTGCAAAGATAGAGCCAAGAAAAATAAAAGGCTGTTAATTACATGTTATTTGAATTTGTTTGATAGTGCCTAATGATGAGTACATATACATATAGTAAGTTTTGCTATTGGCTCCTGAGCACAGTGCAGTTTTGTTTTAAATAGACTTTGGGACAATACTTTTTTCTTTTTTTTCGAATATTATTGCTGAGACATGTGGCATTTGGAATTTAGGGGTGATAAGATTTAAGTCCATCTCGTTTTTGAAAGGTAACATCTGCATTAGGTAAATGACTTAGGTTATAATTCTCTCCAGTCTAAAGTTTTCTTCATCTACAGAGAAGTGACATTCACATAGGGAAGCAATGCTCTTATAAGCATCTTTCCAGTGCAATACATATAATAGTGTGTACATTGACTGCCAATGGGAATATGGGCAAGGGACAGCAGCATCCTTGTCTTTATAGAAATACTTGAAATATGCAGTATGATGTATGGTTTAAACTCTACCTAGCACAGTTGAATTTCATTGTAAATTAATAAGCTCCTGTGTATGTTCTGTAAATTTTGGAATGTGCTACAGAGACAATAGTTGTTCAAGTCTTAAACTGCCTCCCATTCTCAATCTTTTCTGACAAAGGAAATTAAGGAAAGCAGCTCATCTGGAAGTACATAGGGAAGGAGACGGCTCCAGTACCACTGACAACACCCAGGAGGGCGTGGTGCAGAGCCACGGTGCAGGCGCCTCCTACAGTGTCGGTGCAGTCTTCAGAGATCTCTGGCATGCTGCTTTCTTTTTATCAGGGTTTGTATTCATTCAAGGCTTTATATGACATAAAGATTCTCTAATTCTAAATCAGAGTGCTACAGTTTAAGGAGAAATAGGATAAAGTTTGGGGTTATGTGTAAATATATTTAACTCCACGGGAGTGAGTATGTACAAGCAAAGTGTGGTAAAGTTTACTCTATTTCTATTTCTCTCTGTGTGTGTGTGTCTATTTCTCTCTCTCTCTTCCTCTCTCTCCCTCCCTTTATTATCCCCAAGGAACAGGTCTCTCTGTGTTATCCTGGCTGGCCTGGAACTTGCTCTGTAGACCAGGCTGTCTTTGATCTCACAGGGATCTGCCTGCCTCTGTCCCCTGAGTGATGGGATCAAAGATGCATGTGTCCACTGCCCAGCTAGAGGCATTGCTTTCTTTCCTTTCCTTTTTGTTTTTCATTTATTTATTTTTAAGATTGGACTTTTAAAATTTTTTTCTCAAGTATTATTTTAATGCTAATTAGTTCAGTGTTTATCAGTATTGTAGGTCAGAATTTGCTTTAATACACCATGTATCTTGCATTACTTTCTAAGATTATTTGAAATAAATACTTTGAGTTGAGTGAATAAACAATGTACTAACTATAGTCTAAAGTTCATTTGTTTACTGGGGTTTTGTATCTTTTGTACCATCAATGAGTATTGACCAAATAGGCAAAAATATTTGTAGCAGACTTCAAAAGTAAGTTGGGTTTTGTATCTTTTGTACCATCAATGAGTATTGACCAAATAGGCAAAAATATTTGTAGCAGACTTCAAAAGTAAGTTAAACCCAGATCAATATATATTATTAATACTTTGAATACTTAGTTCAAACAGTTAAGAGTTATGAGACTGGTTTACACATGGCATTGCATAAATTAAAAAAAATAGTTAAAAGCTGTGGCAGTACTTGAAGGTATTAGATCAATGAAGAAAAGAGATACTGCAAATAACTTCCCTGTTTTAGGACAATAACTTTGCTAGCTACTTCACAAAATTTTCTTTAGTTTGTATTTGTGCTTTTATGATAAAGTTTATCTTGTGTTAAGCAAAATGTATCCTGTGCTAATTTTTGAATGATTTCCTAGATCATTTTGATAGTCAGCAGTAGCATGGCACTTGTTCCCTAAGAGAGGAATTTGTTTTTATTTGTTTTTAATTTGGACTCCTCTTCTCTCTCGTTTTGTTTTTCTATTCTAACAGATTTTTATTCATAGGATGCAAAAGTTTAATCACTACAAAGTCAGTTTCTTAAGTATTTCTCAATACTTTCAGATGAGCAATTATAAATAGCAAAGTTAGATATATTTAGTTCTCAAGGAATCCATTAGTTGTTTTGTTCTCTATAGTTGATATTGTTGTTGTAGACACCATTTAAATTGGTTTCTTTAACAGTTTTCCTTGTTTTTCTATTCCAACGAGTCCTAGACTTCAGTATTCTTTTTGTTTATTGGTTCATAGCATGAAAATGGCCAGGATAGCAAGTCATTGATAGTATAGTGTCCAATTCCCTTGGGATTGACCCTGTTTAGTTGTTACCACTCTAAACATGAAGCACTTTTCTCTGTCTCCCTTAGGATTTGGTTTGCCAGCATATGACATACAGGTCCTAGGAGAAATGTGCTGAATTCTGATAACCTAGTTTCTAGAAGAGGGTTCTAGCTTCTCTGGGGTTGTGGATTGTAGGCTGGGTATCATTTGCTTCTTATCTGCTATCCACTTATTAGTGAGTACATACTGTATTTGTCTTTCTGGTTCCTAGTTACTTCATTTAGGATGCTTTTTTTCTACTTCCATCTATTTGCCTGCGAATTTTAGGATGTCATTGTTTCTGACCACTAAGTAGTACTCCATTGTGTAAATATACCACATTTTCTTTATCCATTCTAAAGTTGAGGGACCTCTAGGTTGTTTCTAAGATCTGACTATTATGAATAATGTTGTTGCTATGAACATAGTTGAACAAATGTCCTTGTGGTGTGAATGTTCCTCCTTTGGGTATATGCCCAAAAGTTATAATGCAGGACCTTGAGGTAGGTTAATCACTAATTTTCTGAGAAATCACCATACTTAATTTCCACAGTGGCTGTACAAATTTGCACTCCCACCAGCAATGGAGGAGTGTTCACATTTCTCTACATCGTCTCCAGAATAAATTGTCATTGGTGGTTTTTATTTTAGCCATTCTCATTGGTGTAAAATGGAATCTCAGATTTGCTTTGATTTGCATTGTTTAAAGTGTCTTTACACCATTTGAGTTTGCTTTATTGAAATTCTCTGTTTAGGTGTATACCCCATTTTTTAATTGGATATTTTGGTAATTTGATGACTAAGTTTTGATGTTCTTTGTATATTTTGGTGATTAGCCCTTTATCAGATGTGGGATTGGTGAAAATGTTTTCCATTTTGTAGGGAGCCATTTTGTCTTGCTGACCATGTTCTTGCTTTACAGAAGCTTCTCAGTTTCAGGCAGTCCCATTTATTAATTGTTGATCTCAGTGTCTGTGCTACTGGTGTTCTATTTAGGAAGTGGTCTCCTGTGCCTATGTGTTCAGATGTATTTCCCCACTTTCTCTTCTATGAGGCTCAGTGTGGATTACTTTATATTGAGGTCTTTGATTCATTTCAGCTTGAGTTTTATATATGGCAATATATATGGATCTATTAGTATTTTTCTACATGCTGACAGTCAGTCATACCAGAACAATTAGTTGAATATGCTTTCTTTTTTTTCCATGTTATATTTTTAGCTTCTTTGTCAAAAATTAGGAGTGGGTTGATATCAGTCTTCAATTTGATTCTCTTGGTTCACCTGTCTGTTTTCATGCCAATACCAAGCTGTTTTCATTACTATAGTTCTATAGTAGACCTTGAGGTCCAGGATGGTGATGCCCCCCAGATTATCCTTTATTGTACAGGATTGTTTTGACTATCCTGGGTTTTTTTTGTTTTTTTTCCATATGAAGTTGAGTATTGCTCTTTCAAGGTCTGTGAAGAAGTGTGCTGGGATTTTGATGGAGATTGCACTGAATCTGTAGATTGCTTTTGATAGGATTGCCATTTTTACTATGTTGATCATACCTATCCAAGAGCATGGGAGATCTTTCCATTTTCTGATAATCTTCTTCAATTTCTTTCTTTAACAACTTGAAGTTCTTGTCATATGTACCTTTCACTTGTTTGGTTAGAGTTACCCTAAGATAGTTTGTATTATTTGTGGCTGTTTCTCTGATTTCTTTATCAGCCCTTTTGTCATCTGTATATAGGAGGGCTACTGATTTTCTTTTTTAATTAATCTTGTATCCTACTACATTACTGAAAGAATTTATCAATTGTAGGAGTTCTCAGGTATAGTTTTTGGGGTCACTTATATAAACCATCATAACATCAGCAAATAGAGTTTGACTTCTTCCAATTTGTACCCCCTTGATCTCCTTTTATTTATTTATTTATTTATTTTTATTTCTATAGCTAGAACTTTGAGTACTGTGTTGAATAGATATGAAGAGAGTGGACAGCCTTGTCATATTCCTGATTTCAGTGGGATCACTTTAAGTTTCTCTTTAGTTTGATGTTGGCTGCCTTTATTACGTTTAGGTATGTTCCTTGTATCCCTATTCTTTCCAGTACATTCATCAAGAAGGGTTGTTGAATTTTGTTGAAGGCTTTTTTTAGCATTTAATGAGATGAGGATTGATCTCCTTTTAGGCTTCTGTCTAGGGCAAGTAGTGCTGTTCAGTGGTAGAGCACTTAAAATGAAGGCAAGAAGCTGGCTTGGATATCTAACTCTGCAGGACTGACTGTGTATGTGAAGATTTGCACTTCTATTGTTTATAACACATAAGTGAAAGTTAAAGATTTAATACATTGATTTTATTTATGGAATTAAATACACTGCATAATATAATTTAGTTCCACCAGAAAATTTCAGTACAAGTATTAAAATTTGGCCCTTTTTTTAATGTAGTTGTAGTTGTAGTAAAGCAGGTACTCAGCCTTCTTCAGACAAGAAGAAAAGAGTTTGCTTGTCTGCATATCCTAGATTGTTAAGGCTGTCTGGATATAGACAACTCATTAAACTTAGATTTTAGAGTAGGATGATTTTTTGAGCAAGTTCTTTAAAAGTTGTACCAACTTGTGGACTGAAGTTTTCAATATGAAAAATATAATAGCATTATTTATAATATAATCACTTATTTCACAAAGGAAGTAAGGATATTAAATTACTGTATTTTGAAGGTTCTCCTCCCTCCCCAAGTAACTTTGATACAGGACTTCTTAAGTACTAAACAATGCATTGTAGAAAATTCTACAGTTGTCTCACCATGCAGAAATTAAAGAGGTAGGACTGTGAACTTTGGTCATAACAGTGACATTATATATTTTTATGTGTAGAAATTTTTGTTTAAAAATCCATTTAATAAAATAGCTGATTTTATTTCTTAATAAAAACCATATTTATTAAGTACTAGTCATATTAGGCATTATCCTGCTTCCTGGGAACAGAGCACTGAAGCTGATGGCCTTAGAGATGAGTTGGACATAATCCACCCAAACAGAGTACTGTCAATATAAAGAGTGTCTTAGGATGGAGGTGGATGCTACCAGTGCCTTTGTGAAGGTGGACCTTCAAAGTGAGTTTTAACAAGTAATTGCATACAATTAGTTCTTGGGAAATGGATAAGGTCATTTCTTCACATTGTCCCATCAATCAATATATGGAACTATATGAAATTAAAGAGTTCTGGATAGCAAGGGAAACTGTCAGAGCAAATAGACAGCCCACCGACTTGGAGAAACCTTTTCTAGTTAATCATTCCACAGGGTTGATGTCTAGAGTATATAAAGACCAACAAAAACAAACACCAAAACAAAAAGCTGCCCATCAGTAAATCTCATGAAATGACCAGTCAGTTTTCAAAAGAAGAATCAAATAACCAGTTGCTTTTATTTTTAAATTCAACATCCTTAGCTTCTAGGAAAAGGCAAATTAAAACAACTGGAGTTCCCATGTCAAGAAGACAAATGCTTCCAAATCTTCGGGGAATGAGGGACCCTTCTCTACTGTTGGTGACAGTGTTAGCTGTAGACAAGAGGTCTGTCCTGCCTGGTCCTGCAGTCCCAAAAAACAGAGTCTTATATTAATTATAAACCGTTTAGCCAATGGCTCGGGCTTCTTATTGGTTAGCTCTCTCTTTAATTATTATCCTATTTCTATTAAACTATGTGTTGCCATGAGGCTATGGCTTACCCATAGTGCTCTGGCATGTTTCTCCTTTGGCAGCTACATGACATCTCTGGTGACTCCTCTCTTCATTCTTCCTAGCTTTTTCCTAATGTGGTAGCCCTGCCTATACTTCCTGCCTGGCTACATCCTGCCTGTCCATTGGCCGAAACAGCTTTATTCATCAGCCAAATAAGACACACACACACTATACAGAAGGACATCCCCCACCATCTCCTCTGTTCTGTCTAAATAAAAAAGGAAGGAACTAACTTTAGCATATTAAAATTATATATAATAAAACAGTTTCAAGTAAGAATCATAGTTAACAATATTTAGTCTGTTAACATTTGACAAAATTTAAAGAAAATATTGTAACACCTGTCCTGTCTTTGCGAGTATAAAAGTTGTATGTGTAATTTATCATAACTAAGGAAAACCCAAACCGTAACTCTCTGCCTTCAACTCCATCTGTTAGCTGTTGCAGCCACTACGAACATCAGTGTGGCGATTCCTTCAAAACTAAAAATAGAACCACTGTGATCTAGCTGTACCACCTCTAGGCATATTCCCAAAGAATGCAGCCTTGTCATTTAAAGGTACTTACACACACTTGTGCATAGCTGCATTATTCACAGTCGCAGAAATGGAACCAGCCACATGTCTGTTAAAAGAAGAATGAAAAATGAAATCGTGCCATTCATTCCATTCGTAATGGAACTTTTTGTTTGGCTGTTAAGAAAAATGAAATTTTGAGGAAAATGGATGGAAATACAAAGGATTATAGTAAGTAAGGTGACTCAGTCTCAGATTAAAAATGCATATCTGTCTCATGTGTGGATTCTAACTTTTGAAATTTACATGAATGTAAATAAGGGAGTATAAAAGCGGATATAGACTAAAATGAGATGGGACCACAAGAAGAACATTGAGAAATGGGAAAGACCAAAGGTCACATATGACATGACAATAACCTGTTATTATAAGACTTTTCCCTTTTTGGCCAAGTAGCCTTTGATTTTTGTCTGAATTATGGTAGTTCTATACGATTATTTTCCCAACTCCATCACGATTCCTTCATTTTTTAGTTGGCATTTTGCTTAAGGTGATGTGTTCCCTTATTTATTTGGGCATCTCTGTTTTGTCACTCTCTTCATTTATTTCACTGTCTCAGTGGACCTGAATTTGACCAGTATCCATGACCACAGTATCTTCTGTGCTCATACATGGGATGCTCCTGGTTCAGCTCGTGCATCCTCCAACCCTGAAAGCAGCCACTTCTTCAAGGAGAGTGGTGTTTAGAAACCAAAATTTGGCTGCAAGATGCTAGTGGGGTTTTCCAAGTGGATAAAAGTATGTTAGGGTGTATTATTCAACTTTGTACCCATGTAGATGAAACATGTCTGTTGTAATATGTGAAATAGGAACCTGCTTACATGTGTATGTGTGCTAGCTATGGATTTTCAGTGATAGCTCCAAGCTCCAATACCACTCAGTGCATTCTTTTTCTTTCTTCTTCCTTCCTTCCTTCCTTCCTTCCTTCCTTCCTTCCTTCCTTCCTAAATGTGTATGGGTATTTTATTTGCATGCATGTCTGTGCACAGCTTGCATGCAGTGCCCACAGAGGCTAGAAGAGGGCATTCAATCCTCTGGCACTGTAGTTAGAGACAATTAGCTGTCCTTTGAGTGCTGGGATCTAAACCCAGGTCCTCTGGAAGAGCAACAAATGCTCTTAACTATGGAGCCATCTCTCCAGTCCCATTCTTTTTTCTGTTTCTGAATGTTCTTCATCAGCAACAACACTGATTGGCATTATTCTCGGTATGTTTGCATATACACAGTAAACCTTCTGTGTGTAGATCTTCTGATCGGGATGCATGTGGCATCCTGCCTTCACATGGTTCCCGAAAGTAGCTGCCATTGATTGTTGCCAGCTGCTGTACGTTTGTGTTTTTAGCTGCAAGGATGGTGTTTACATTTATTATTTTCTTCTTGCCATTATAGCTAGTTTAATGATTTATGTGCATTTGCTTATTAAGAACCATCAAACACCTATGAAAGCATAGACTTGCTGTTCACATCTTCTCAGTGTCACATTATTCCGAGAGGAAGCAACTCAAAGACTGGGAGAAGCGTAAAGGAAAGGGAGGAGGTGTTGATCAGTGCTGGAAGGTGCTATGTGGAGTGTGTTCTGTTGCCCATCCTAAGAAAGAGCTGGCTGGAAGGTCAGCATTGGGCTCCAGTGGATTTCTGCTTCACATTGCATGTCTGCAGCCACTGTTTCCTCTTTGCCTGCTGGTTCCCAGATCTGTGTCTTAGCTGCTTGCTGCTCTTGGGGCATTTTCTGTTTCCTTATATACACTTGCCTCGCTTTTCTATCTGACTGATGTATCTACTTTCTACATGTCTTTTACTTCATTGTTTTCTCTTTCCCTTCTCAATCTAGTTCACTTACCATCAGTCTCTCTAACATACTATGAGTTTATTTGAATTTCAGTGTCCTGACTTTTAAATCAACATCTACATTGATAACATAATATTCCTCCCTAGGCTGAGAAGGTACAAAGTCCCTTTCTACCCTTTCTTGATTCCTCTTTTCCCCATCCCCTTTGCACCATAACCTACTTTCTTGATCATTTGCAGTCTGAGGCTTATTTTCTCTGGATTTTCATGTCACTGGGGATCACTGTCTGGGTATGTATGAATGTGAAGCATTGGAACGGATAGTATAGGGCGTGTGGACACATGGTCGCCTGTCTCTGTTAGCAGTTCTGCAGAAGGAGCATGAAGGGAGGGACTTCTTTGTATAAGACAACAGCTTTCTATGCTTTGACAAAATTGCTAGAAGAAATTCTAATAGCATTAAGGGGGTATTGGAAGTACTGTGGAGAACATAAATCATCTCATATTTAGGAACTATTTTTTGTATTGTAGTTGGCTTTCAAACAGGCTGTGTTGTTTCACCTGTAACATCTTTGTTTCTCTTTGATTCCAAAATCAGCAATAAAGTAGATGAGTTCTAAGGCTCTACCTAGTTCTCAGATTTTTTAATTAATTAAAATTAATTTTAAAAATTTAATTAGTATGCAAGGTATTATATGTCATTTTTGAAGTGCTTGAGATGATTCTTTGTCCTGCTTATCCATGCCATCTGCCTGTACCTCCAGCCCCTCCCTTTGCGGCCCCTCGCACTGAGTCTCTTCCCTTTCCTGTCCAGAGTGTCCTTCTGCCCACCATTGCTCGGTTCTTAAGCAGGTCTCCATCAGTTTAGTCACTGGGGTTTAGAGTGGACTGCATTGAAAATGCTATCTGTGTGAAGCGCTATACCAGTTTATTTTTCCTTTCTTATAAAATAAACTCTGGAAAAATTCAAGGGGGACTATTTACATAAAATTTCTTTTAAATTGTATTTTATAATAGACTTAATCTACATGGAGCATACGTTATTTTCTGTGGGACTTATCATTTCTACTGAAGGCTTCTGTTGTTAGCTACTTTCACCTCTTGTAATCTTTTAAGACTCAACATTTGCTTGTTAAAAATACTATTTCCTACATTGTAGTTTATAAGTATATTATTCTACAAATCAATATCTTTAATTCTGGCCTTGTATCTTCTCTAAACAACACGGTTGTTGATTATTTTTTCCCAGAGATCTTTTTAGTGGGTGACAGAGGTCATGTCCTCCTTTTATGTTCTCCATTTTGACTTCTGCCAGTGTTTTAACCTTATTGATTAGGTTTTCCTTCTTCATATGTTTTTCTGAGACAAAAGGTCTGTGTTTGTGTTGTACATTAAAAGGAACTTCCATATACTACCATATACTACAGCTAAAATATTTGGGATAGTATTAAGTCACTAATTGCAACTTATCTGATGAATTTACAAAGATAATCTTTTAAAAATAAAAGTTAAAGTACATTAACACTAACAAATTGGGCAAATTTTTTCATTCTAGACATTGTCCAAAGAACAAGCTAGGAATTATTTGGTAAATCGGGAGCTTTCTTTGAATTGCTATTTGCAAGACCTCAAACTGAATGTGGATTTTAAGTTGAATGGTTATTTTATTTGCTATTATTTCTCATTTACTATTTAAAAAAAGGGTAACCATTAAAATTATGAAAAATACTATCAACCCATCCAGAATAAGCTGCTAAGTACACATAACATTCATATATATTTTGTTTTTAGGTCAAAGAAAGCAAAGAGTTCAATCGACAAGTCAACTGAGACTGACAATGGCTATGTGTCCCTCGATGGGAAGAAGAGTGTACAAAGCAGTGAGGGCAGGCCACGGGACCATGAAGCTCAGTGTGAAACTATCCGACCAGAAAACACAGCCTGGGCCACTGCAGCTCCAAGGAATGTCCCTGCCAAAGTCAGTGTCACTTTTAGAGTTTGTTTGAGTTCATATCTGCTAACATGAAGTGATTCTGATAAAATTGTTGCTCTCAAGTCAAATGTTTTCTCTGCAGTTAATTCTGTGAACTTTATAAATAGTAGCGGTGACATTAAAAATCAAGTACATGTGGCTAAACATGATTGGAAGTAGAATGCGGCACGTTCTGAATCGATTCGCCTGATTTTTTTCAGAATATTGAGGCAACTTGGAATTTATGGTCAGTGTTTATTAACCTTCCCGTCTTCTTCCCATTTTCATATGTGTGAAAGGATGTGTACTAAGCTGAGGCCCTCGGTTGTTCTAAAAGCTCAACTAGGCAAGGAAAGAACCTATAAGAAAATACCTTACTTTCTCTACACTAATGACTTTTGTTTTTATGCATCTGTTTAGTTAATATTTGATCTGAAAACTTTTCTCTAAAATAGGACTTTTTGGTTGATTCAGTAGTTTGTTTTTTTTTTCTTTTAATAGGGTTTAGTGTACATACAGTTAACTTATGTTCTTGTCATTTTCTGTTTTGAAATGTACAATAGTTTGTCAACCATAATTAGAGAAAATAAGCTATCCTCTTATCCATTTGTAGCCTCTGTGTTCCTCAGCCTCTGTCTGTTCATCCCCCTAGTTGTGGTAACTACTGTTTCAGTATATTCCCATCCCCCATTTGTCTGTCTGTGTATCATACTGTGTAATGGTGTACATTATGAGCCTTTGTGTGTCTGACTTATTTCCAGTTGTTTTTTTTTTTTTCTAAATGACAAAAATCTGTTGTATTTATGGACTGAATAATAATCTACCCTTTTATCAATAATTAGTTGAGGTTATAGTGGCTCTAGTATATGTTATTGGTGCTTTTGTGAAGGATCTTTTGTGGTTCTGCATAGAGTTTTGGTATTCTAGTTTTCTGAAGCATGTTATTGGAATGAGACAATGGTCACCCTCCCCACTGTTATTCATTATAATGCTTCATGTCTTAGCTACAGTAATAAGACAGGAGAAAGCTATGAAAGGGATTAGAATTGGAAAGGAAAAGTTAAATTTAGCCCTATTTGCAGATGGCATGAGTCCATATTTAAAAGACACCATGGACTCTAACCAGAAAACCTTTAGATCTGATAAACAAGAAGTTTCAGGATACCAGATTAACATACAGAGCTCAGTAGCTTTTGTATATAGTAGCAACAAACTTGCTGAGGAAGAATATCCCATTGAAGATAGTTTCTACAGTGAAAACTTAAGACACCATAAAAAGAAACTGAAGAAGACAAAAAGACCTTCTATACTCCTGAATTGACAGCTAGACTACCAAAATAATCTATATTTAATGCAGTTCTCATTAAAATTCCAGGAAATTCTTCATAGAACTAAGTGGAGGGGATCCTAAATTTGTAAGGAAATGCAGAAGACTATGGATAGCTAAAGCAACCCTAAGCAAAAGAATTCTGCCAAAAACATCGTGTTACCCACCTGGCCTCAAACTATAACTTAGCCATAGTGACAAAGCAGCACACGGCTTCCACAGAAACAGACTTGTACACCAAGGGACATCACAGAAGACCTAGAAATCAGCCTACACAGCTGTAGACGCCTCATTAAACTTTATCAATTTGCCCTTTTTATGTATATAATTTATATTTTACTTTATGTGTATAATATGCTTGTATGTATATATGTGCCTCATGCCCTCAGAGGTCAGGAGAAGGCATCATCAGATCCTCTGGAATTAACTAGAGTTACAGATGTTGTGAGCCACCATGAGGGTGCTAGAAGATGAACCTGGGTGTGCTGCAAGTGCTCTTAACTATAGAGCCGTCTCACCAGCCCTGGATGCCTCATTTCTGACAAAGCTGACAAACATGCATCAGAAAACAACCTTTTCAGCGAATACTTCTGGCAAAACTAGATATCTTCCCTCAGAAGGATGAAATTTGATTTATATTTTTCACCCTGCTCAGAAGTCAGTCCAGCTAGACAGTGGTGGTGCACACCTTTAATCCCAGCACTCCATAGGCAGAGCCAGGTAGATGATCTCCAAATTTGAGGCTAGTCTGGTCTCCAAAGCAAGTTCCAGGATAGGTAGGCTACACAGAGAAACCCTGTCTCGGATTCCCCACCCCCCAAAAAAAGTCAGTTCAAAATGGATCAAAGAAATTTAAAATTTGAAAAACTGAAACTATCGGGAAAATTCAGGATATAGGTATGGAAAGAACTTTTGGCCTACAACACAAGAAAGTTCAGGAAATAGCTCTAAGAATTGACAAATGAGAACACATGTAATTAAAAAGCTTATGCACAGTAAAAGCAGAGAATAAAGGGAGGCTTTTGAGTAGGAGAAATCTTGACCAGCTAGACTTCAGATGATAGGTATCTGGAGTACATAAAGAATTGTAAAAATCTGCTGCTGCCCCATTAAAAAAACAAAAAAAAAAAAAACAAAAAACAAAACAAAAAAACAAACCCAAACTACCAGTAAGTCCGTGGACCAAGGAAATGAATAGACAGTTCTCAAAAGAAGACATACAAATAGCAATAAATATACTAAAATTATACAATATCCATGGCTGCCGTGGGTTCTTTAAAAAACAACCAAACATTAGGTCGAGCTCCAAGAATCTTGAAGAGAGGGAGGAAGGATTGTAGAAGCCAGAGGGGTCAAGAACACCACAAGAAAACACACAGAAACAGTTAACCTGTCTCATAGGAACTCACAGGGACTGACCTGCCATCCAGGGAGCCTGCATGGGACTGACCTAGACATCTGCATACATGTAACAGTTGTGTTGTATAGCTTGGTCTTCTCATGGGAACAGGGGCTGCCCCTAAAGTTTTGGCCAACTTTTGTTAATGCCTCTTTCTGAACAGAAATGGAGGGAGGAGACAGGGAGACAAGGACTGGGAGGAGAGGAGGAAGGGAAAACTATGGTTCAGATGTAAAATTAATTAAAAACTTATTGCTACTCAGCAGTGGGTGCCTATGAGGAGAAGAGAGAGCCTTTATTCTGGGTGGCTGTTGTGAAAATCAGTGCGGAGGGCCCTCAGACCTAGGCACACTACTCCTGAGCACGTGTTGAAAGGACTCCATCCTACCTGTTCATCCCTGTTTAATTGCTATACATTTATAATAACAATGAAATGTATTTGATTATGATGTACATCAACAGATGAGTGAATAATGAGAATTGATACATATAAATTACGGCATTTTATTCCTCTGTGAAGAAAAAATTAAATCTGCAGGAAAATGGGTAGAATTGGAAATGTATTAAATCAGGTAGTCCAGGCTCAAAAAGATAAATGCCACATTTACCCTCATGCTTATGCAGGGCTGACTCTAGATAGGTAGGAAGTGCTGACTGAGGAGAAACAAAGAAGACTCAGGGTGGGAGGGGTAAGATGTTTAATGTGCATGAAAGTGGAGAGAACCATGACTGTGGAAGGGTATGAGCAGAGAGAAATCTTGTAAGGAGACCTGCATACTAAGTTTTTAAAATGTGCTCAAACTAAAAGATGCTGCATTTAGGAATATGAGTATGGCCATATCTCTTGTTGACAGAGATGAGAAGAAGATTTTCTGAATTTTTTTTTTTCAGTTGAATGCACTTATGTTTTGTAGTATCAGCTGTAAATCATTTTGAGTCTGTAGTTGAGTCTGGCTGTGATTTTTGATTACTAATGTGTTGGCTGTCTGATAATGTGAATGTAACATGTGTTATGTCACTCACACAGTTTCCAGATACATTCTAGCTGTGAAGTTATCTGGAAAGAACATGTCAGTGGAACTTACACTTCTTGAGCCTTTCAGTTTCAGAATATCTGAAGTATGGATGTCTCTTACAGTTGATCATACATAATGTATCAGTTGTGTATACACATCCGGCTGCTCCTCCCCCTCACCCCAGTCACTTGTATAAAGTCGGTGATGCTCTTATAATTGATGAGCATTTAGCTTGATTAAATATTATAATTTTTTTCCTCAGGTCTTTCAGCTTCTTTCAAATGGCCTTGGTTGTATTTGTATCTCATTCGTATTTATTATTTCTGCAAGGTATTTTCAGATCCTTTTCTGAACAAAATGTAATAGAATAATATTTGATTAATTACTTGAATTACTTTCAAAGGGAAATGTATATTGAATAGTTTAATTGCTAACTTAAGACATCTTTTCAGAAAATTAGGTAGTCCCTAATGGTTCCTTAGTATTTGAAGATATTTTGAAGATATATATATATATGTATATATATATATGTATGTATGTATGTATGTATGTATGTGTATTTGTATAATTTTAATGCATTGGCATCTTAAAGCTCAACAATCATCCAAAAGTTAACGTTCTTTGTCTCCTCCCAACTAGGATGCCCAAAGAAAGATAACAAATGTCTCTGATGAAGTATCCAGTGAGGAAGGTCCTGAGACAGGATACTCATTGCGCTGTCACATGGACAGAACTTCTGAAAGCAGTCTTCGGAATAGAAAGCCACACCATTACAAAAAGCATTATGCAAATGAGGTATACAGTTTGACCTTATGTAAATGCACATATACCTGTTTTATTTCTTCAATAATTGAGTGTTACTATTGAAATATTTCCCACCATTATCAATATGTATTGTTTTACAATCTTTTTGTTGTTGTTTTGAGACAGGGTCTCACTGTAACTCTGTTGACTTCCTGGAGCTTGTTACGTAGACAAGGCTAGCTCCAGCTCAGATACACCTTGCTCTGCCTCCCCAGACTGGGATTATAGGTGTGACACCACACCCAGCTTTGTTTTACAATCTTGTTGGATAGTGTAGCATTGATCAATAGCTACCCATGCACAATCATTTTTGTGTGAAGCTCCATATACTTAGGTCATTGTTTACTGTTGTTTATTTACTTGTTTACTGGTTTGGGGAAGGGGTGCCCCTGTTGTAGTGGAGTTGAGAGAACAACTGGAAGAGTTGATTATCTTCCTACCAGTTAAATTTCTGGGATCTAACTCAGGTTGTCAGGCTTGCTGCCAAGTACCCTGACCAATTGAGACGGTCTGCTAACTCCTGTGTCAGGGCTTTCACAGCTCACTATAGTGAAGTAATTTCTTTCATGTTGCTATTGCCTGTTATTCATTTCCCTATACTACAATATTCAGTAATTTTTCTCTGATTCCCTTTTTCTCTTTTTTTAAAATGTATTTATTGATTGATTTTTCTCAAAGCTTTCTTCAACTTTTTGACGTCTCTAGAGCTTAAAACTATCTAGAAAATAATTTCATTCCACTTAATGTTTACTTTCTATATACAAGAAATTGTAATCAAGATGTTTCTCTCCCACCTGCCTGTTCCCAAATGTCCAGCAGCCACTTCCCAAACAACTGACTTGGATGCTTAATATGATTTATAAATGTTCGGTCAATGTTTCAGGTGTATTACTAACTAGCTCTTAATATTTTAAGCTAATCCATATTCCTTATTTATGCTCTGCCACGTAGTAGTACCTTTTTTTTAGTACATCGTACCCATCTCATTCTCTCTGCGTCAGGCTGGTATCTCCTGACTCTGCCCTTATTCTTCCCATCATCCTTAGTTTGGCTACCCACCTATACTTCCTGCCTGGCTACTGGCCAATCAGCTTTTTATTAAACCAATTTGAGTAACAGTTCTTTACAGTGTTCAAGAGGATTATTCCATAGCAAGAAATTTCATTGCCTACCTCCAAAGCTTTAACCCTGTGTTACGTTTTAGCCAGTAGTACCTTGTAGTCTTTTCAAAGTATACAAATATTTTTTTCCTGCATGATTTTGAGATAAACTTATGAAAAAAAATTCAAGTGTTATACTTGGGCAGAATACGAGTTGTTCCAGGCTGCTAGGAGAGTTACTTTCACACACTCCTCTCTCAGGGTCTATTTGGGCTTTGGTTGTCTTTTCCTCTCAAAGGCTAACACTCAGACTAGTATGCCAGCTTACTGCCTTGTCATTCACAACCTGCTTCTAAACAAATTACCAAGCCTAGGAAATGAGAATCTCTCTTTATGCATGAGAAGCTCCTTGGTGCTGGAAAGAAGGTAGAAGGAAGGTTTGATGCCTCTCCTGTGTAATCAGTTATCACTCTTGGGTGATTCTTGTTCCTGTGATCTTTACTATTGGAATTCTTGAGGAGCAGAGCAATAAATATTGCTTTAAAACATTTCAACCTATTTTTCATTGATAGTAAACATTGATTAAACTGAAATCTCAGATTTATTTATGAAAACTTTAAAATAAATGATGTTTTAACAGTTGTGTTCAGCTCCTCCAAATCTGGTCTTAGAAACAGACAACTTTACAGGACATGTCTTAAGAAAAGCAAGCCTTTAGAATAGGTTCTCAGCCTCTGGATCATGGTCAAATATCAGATGTCCTGTCCTCTATACTTTGTAATATTTTGTTGCCTCTTCCACTGTCCTATGACAGTATGTTTGTTGTTTTAGGACAAGTAGAAATGTATGGTTCTGATAAAAAATCCTTTGAGTTGGAAAGGATATACAAATTGTATTAATGTCAAAGAATATCTTGATTTCAGGATGCCCCTAAGTCGGGTACTAGTTGCAGCTCTCGATGTTCAAGTTCCAGACAGGATTCTGAGAGCACAAGGCCAGAATCTGAAACGGAAGATGTCTTATGGGAAGATTTGTTACATTGTGCAGAATGTCATTCATCTTGTACCAGTGAGACAGATGTGGGAAATCCTCAGATTAACCCATGTGTGAAAAAAGAATATAGAGACGACCCCTTTCACCAGGTTAGTTTACAGTGTTGGCTCATGTGGGGCAATCAGACAAGCTCCTTGGAACGTGTGTACAAATTTTACAGAGGTGACAGAAGGTTTACATTCAGTTAAATTAATACTCATAAGGTGGGGTGTGTTTGTTTGTGTTTGTTTTTTTATGTGGCCTGTGGTCTGCCTTCATTAGAATATAGTGTTTTGGTGTTTATATTGTACTGGTGTACATACATATGTTCCTGAAATAATAGATGGAGTTTTGTGGGTCAGTCTGTTTTAGATGCACTAGTTGTTTTATCCTATTTAGATTCATGTACACCTTGGCCTAAATTCTGCTTTTAATATTATGATTCAAAATCTGTATCTCAAGAGTATCAATTTTGTATTACTGAGCACCCATAGTCACATTATTCAATAGAAATATACTCATGTAGGTTTATATTTTCTAGTATCCTTGATAAAAACAGTTTTAAAAAGTAAAAATCCAATATGTTTTATTTTACCCAATATATTCAACATATCATTCCTATGTAAGTGATGTAAAAATAAGAAATTATGTAGGTGACATTTTTATATTAAGCCTAAAACTATTCTGAACCCCTAGCATACATCTCATTTTGGGTTAATCACACTTAAGATGTTAAAAGTGTTATTGAGTCGGGTACTGTGTTGAATCCTTTTAATGTCCATCAGTTCCCCATCTTCCTTTATAAACCTTCTCTCACTGTACTCGGGATCTTTGGTAAGTGGCATCTCCATCTGTCACTCACCAGTCCAGAAACCTGATGGCCATTTAAAAGTCCTTACCCTGGACAGTGGTTACCCCACATAAGCATGGGGACCTGAGTTGGAGCCTCAGAGCCTGTATTTAAAAAGACAGAGACAGCAGGGTGTGCTGGGTGCATTGAGGATGCAGTGACAGGTGACTCCTGCCAGCCTAGCCTGCTGGGCAAGCTCACTGAGAGCAAAAGACCCTTATCTTAAAATAAGATAGTATTGAGGAATGACATCTGAGGGTGACGTCTGACCTCTGTGAAGGTAATTGTGTGTGTGCTCACTCTTATGTAAACTCCCCCATACACTCATCCAAATCCTCACCCTTTTATATACTTACTTTCTCTTAGCCAACTTCTTATCAAGTGTTGTCAACAAAAACAAGTAAATTCTTCAAAAACTAGAAACAGAAGACAGTTTTGTTAATCTGATTAAGAGTGGTACCAAAGAACCTTCAGCTATGACAAAGTTCTATAGTCTGGATGGCTTACCCAGTACTCTTTGTACAGTTCTGATAACTGGTAGGCTCAGATTAGGGTATCAGCATGATCATTTTCTTGGTAAAATCTCCTCTTCCTGTGTCCTGTAGATAGCAAGCTCTGAGCTTGATTTTTAGGATACATTTTCTTAAAAGCAGGTACCATGTGAAAGTGTCCATTATCCTGCTTTTGCTTTTATTGTGGCAGCCTTTTTGTTCATTTGTCTGCCAGGTTTTGATTGGATTTGCACTGATTAAAGAATGAAATGTTAAAAATAGCAAAAATTGTTGGTTATCTTGGCACATCTTTAAACCCCACCCTTGGGAGACAGAGGCAGTTGGGTATCCAATTTCCAGACCAACCAGGGCTACATAGTGAAACCCTGCCTTTAAAACAAAACAGAAGCCAGGGCTGTGTTAGAGAAATCCTGTCTTGATAAACCAAAACATACAAAACAGTTTTAAATATCAATAGATGGACTTTCCTTACAGATACAAACATTTAAATTGAGAGTAGGATAGAAAAATCTAGAAATGGATTTGTGCTCTTATGGATCCCTAATGTATGGCATAAATAGCATTAATATTCAGTGAGGAAAAGATAACCCCATAAGAGCATTGACACATTGAAATTTATTGTTCATAGTTACTAAGTGTAAAGGGGGAAAAGTTTAAAACATTTAGAAGTAATATAGAATAGTCATCATCCTTGTTTTAGTTCACCAGAGTTTTCACAAACAAGATGTCCAAAGCGTGGCAAAACCAAAATGGGGTACTTATAAATATCAATTTAAAATTTTTGACTTGCAAATTAAGCTATAATTATTATTAAAAGACAGTCCTCAGAAGATGTCTGTAACATCTTAGCTGTCAAAGTACAGAGAAAGAGAACTACTATAGAGGATTAGTTAAACAAATGATTCTGGCTGTGGTGATCCATGCCTTTAACACCAGCACTTACTCCAGTGGCACAGGCAAGTGCCTCATTGAATTGGATACTACCCTGGTCTACAAAGACAGTTCCAGGCCAGGCAGTTACTTGATGAGATACTGTCTCAAAAAAGGGTGGGGGTGGGGAGAGTGGGAGAGAGAGAAGGAGAAGGGAATAGGAATGAATAGGAAATAAAAGGATCTGAAGAGGTAACTTAGGGGACATGTGTATGAGTGGAGATGAGTAGTATGTTAGTTAATATGACCAGTTTTGTTAGTGTCAGGCAAATGAAATTTAGAGCAATGAGACACTATCTCATACTGATCAGATTTCAAAAAATTTAAGAGGCCAGGCAGCACTCAGATGCACAGACAGGTGGATCTCTGTGAGTTCCAGGACAGGCTGGGCTACACAGAGAAACCCTGGGGGTGAGGCGGAGAAGAAACTAACATAGCTGTGATGATTCTTCATTGCCAACCTAGCTGGATTCAGAACCCCCTGGGAGACACACCAGATCAGGGAAGAACCGTTCTAAACACAGGTGGTATCATCCCATGTCCTAAGATCCCAGACAGATCAGTATCAGCATTCCTCCTTTTCTGCTTCCTTAATGGTGCCTCGGGCCAACCTACTCCTACAATCATGTCTTTCCTGCTGTAATAGATTGCACTTAATTAACTTAGTTTAGTTGAACTAAGCCCCTTCTCCCCTGAGGTGCTTTTCCCGGGTATTTTGCTGCAATGGTGGGCAGTACAACAAACAGTAGTAAAGCCAGGAGGCCACAGTTTATAGCAATGAAATTAAGCTTAACCACATGTCAACATGAATATAATTTTTTCAATTATAAATTGAAGTATAAATTTGGATTTTTTGTAGTGAATGCAATTTGAAGAACTGTGCAGTACCATTTACATAAGAATTTAAAGCATTCAGAACAGTGTATTCGTGAATTAAAGCATGCACTTGGGATATAAAAACATGCAAGAGAATAAGTATGAAATTTAGACTTGTGGAACTTGGTGATTAACTAGAGAAGTATACAGAATAATTTCTGAGTTTATCTGGAATGTTTCACTTCAGCAGATTGAGAAGAAAGAAGAATGAGGTAAAGTCAACTCCCGGGGTAGCTGAATGAAAGTGTTTCACCCATTGGTTTTGACTTCAGACCTGTTGCAAAGTGACGGGGAAAGGAACCTTCACTGAGCTGGTTAGAGTGATTGAGTGGTGTGTGAGAGCACAGTGTAGAAGCTTGCAGGAGGCAAAGTAGAGATGAGAAATAAGAGGGGGAAAGTGTGCTTTTTAAGATGTAAGATATTTATGTACATGAGAAAGTTAGTGGGGAGAAAGCAAAAGAGTTATAAAAGGTATTGCCCAGTTGTTGGCAGTGATAAACAGGCTCTGGGGTAGCAGAAAGGGGAGGTGCATAGACTGGGCAAGGCAATGAAAGTCCTGGTGGCTTCTGTTTTCTGAGACACAGGGATCTTGGGGCTATTAAGGAGGAAAAAGAACCAAGAAGGCATGCCTGGAATAATGCTTCTGTGGAAATCTAGATGGCAGCTTGGCCAAGAAAGATAATTGTGTTTAAGGGAACTCATACTCTAAAGTTGAAGAATTCAGAGACCTACCTGTTCAGGTGGGAGGTTACTACTGCTGACTCATTTCAGAGATGAAGCAGTTGGTGGTGTGGCCATGGGAATAGCTAAGGGTCCATGGTTCAGAACAATTCCTGAGACTACATGATGTTTGGTAAGGAGGCATGCACATGTTCTTCTGGGCCACTGAGTTTGATCTATGGACGGAGGTATTGAGAAATGCCTGTGAGCTGTTTTCCCTGTAATTCCACAAGCAGTACAGACACATGGGCTGTGATTTCTGTCATGTTGTTGTATCACTTACTCCTTGGGACAGAGTATATCTTTAGTGAATGCTAGCTGGGTGAATGCCTGAAAGAAAACACATTAAAAATAGCATGTAGGACGTTTCAAAGTTATTTATGGGATTGTTTAATAATTTGACCCTGTCTGATTCATCCTTGTTTTTCTATGAGATTTTAAAAAAACAGAAAAACAAAAAACAAAACCATAAAACCTCTCTTCTGCATATCTAATATACTAATTATACTAATTTTAGTCTTAGTAGTTGTCAGGCAATAGAAATTAGCTTTCTTTAATGAAAAAAACTACCAGATTGTTTACTTATCTGGCTGTATGACTATGTTTGATTTGCAAGACCATTTTCTGTCTACCATCAAAATGGAAAATCTCCTTGGGAAGAAACAGTGAGCATTTGGATGGGCATGTTATTGTCAGAATTTCGGCAATACATAGTTTTATTATATTTGTAAATAGTAACAAACTATTTTCTAGAAGAAAAATTTTCTCTGCTTATTTTGGCTGGGTGTATAGTGAAATAAAAAGCCATATTCAGGTGACATCTTCCAGTAGGTAACTAAAGCAGTTGTCTTAATGAGTTTATTTGAAATAAGATATAACATCATCACAATTTAAGGTTTTCATTTTGAGTGAAGATAAAAGCAAAGCACTGGAGATTTGGAATGGTGATGAAAAATAATAATGAAAAAGAATTTCAAACTTCAGCTTGAAAACCTAAGATCTTCATGTGTCCTGCTCACACAGGCCACATGTGACCTCATGTGTCCTGCTACACAGGCCACATGTAACCTATGACAGCCCCACTTTTGAGGCGATAGCATGTTTCAGTGCCAGGTGGTGAAGTTATAAACAGCAGTTACTTGTTCCTAGGTTTCTACTGAGCCCTTTAGGTTAGGATCTCATATGATGATGTTTAAACAAGACTGTTTTCAGACAAAAACACATCTACACTGAGAGGCACAAGGCCTTCCTGATTGACTCTGAATTGACCATTTCTAATGGCTGTCCTCTCTTGCCTTTTGGCTGTAAGAAAATGAAGTCAAATGTCTGCAAAAGTAACTGGTGAGAAGTACTTTAAGAACAGCAAAGAGATTGATTTTTTTCTGTCTCTAGATTGACCTCCATTGTATTAACATAGTCTTAGTGTAATTGTGCAGACCTGTAATTTCTGTTACAGTGAGACTTGAGAAGAAATCTGTTATTACTTGGCTAAAATCTCTTGCCTTCCAGACTTCCAGACTTACTATCCTGTGCTGGTTAGTTGTCAGTCTGACAGGATCTGGGGTTACCTAGGAGACAAGCCTCTGGGCATACCTGTGAGAAATTACTTACCTTAGCCAAGTCTCTTGACACTCCTGTGATCACCTTGTCACTCCAGTTTCTGTATATTTTATGTCCCAAAGCCCCTCCCCACCTTCAGAGTGCTAGGGACTGAATTCAAGGCCTCATGCATTGCCTACTAGCCAGCACTTTACCTGTAAGCAACATCTTTAGCCCTTTTTTTTTTTTTTTTTTTTTTTGGAAGTTTTTGATTCTAGTATATTTCAGAATTATATTTTCAGAGAAGACGATGCATATTTTGACAACAAAATTATTTCTTTTCTAAACTGGCATATATTGTTTGTCAGCAAGTTATAAAACATTACTTTAAGTAAGTTGACAGTTAACAATAATATTTCAATGCTTGTTAGTCCCTCAAATAGTGAAATGTATAAAGACCATGAAAGTATTTAGAAAAGATAAAAATTTTCCTCTTTTTTATATATTACCAGCTTTTTAGACTTCAGCTGAAATTTATTGGTGCACCTTTATCCCTTGTGTATGAAAAATAGTATTTCTTAAATTTATGGAATTATTTTGGAATATTACAGTGTGACAATATATTGATTATATTCCTCAGGTTACTGTGAATGCCAAACATATCATTTATATAAAATGTGGGAAATATATCAATTCTTGAGATAAATGTGAGTTAGAGATACTATAATGTAAACAAGTTATTCCTACCCAGCTCATTTCTTAGCATTCTTCTCCGTACATTACACGTTGCTGTGAAAGTGTTCATTGGTTTTGTGCTACCGGCAGCCAAACTGTCCTGTTTTCTAATTTCACTGCTTTAATGTATCCAAAACAAACACCCAAACTTAAACATTTGATGCTTCATACTGAAGTCTTACTATTTTTTGAAACGTTGAGAGATACTGTATTTCAGAGAATACTTGTATTTGTTTCTCCTTTGAATGTTTGCCTTATCTGAAAAAAAAAAGGCTTAATTGATCCTCTCCAGAAATAAATGCTATTTTCAAATATTACAGAAGTAACTGGACTGCTTAATGAAAGTAAATGAGGGAGAATCTCTTCTAGGATGAGATTAAATCACACAGTTTTTCAAAGATCTCAGCTGTCATATTTTGTACTGAGTCATAAGGTGGACAACAGTCATCATACAATTTCCCATTCATGTCTTTCAACTTCAGTACTTTTGCTAACATTTTATTGTATATTTAAATTATAGGATATTTGTTAAAGTTCTGCATTTTTTAACTGCAAATTTTTATGTCATCTGTTTAATGTATGACTAGTTTTAAATTGAGGTTTTAATGTAGCTAAATTGTATGTGCATAGATATGGCTAATGTACAGATAAATGTGTTCCATTTATAAAATGTGATAAATGTGTTCAAGTCTCTTTTTTTCTTGTAGAGTCATTTGCCCTGGCTTCATAGTTCCCACCCAGGATTAGAAAAAATCAGTGCTATAGTGTGGGAAGGCAATGACTGTAAGAAAGCAGACATGTCTGTACTTGAAATCAGTGGAATGATAATGAACAGAGTAAGTTCTTCATTTGTTTTATCTAGGTAAAGGGCAAATTTAGTGGCTATCCATATATTACCCAAATATGAATAACTTATTCACGTCCCTTTTCTTCACCCTGGAAAATAGTTATTTTTTCTGATGTGTGTGCATGTGTGGCATCCCAACTTAGTTGTGGAGGATGGAGGGCAGCCTTGTGGAGGCCGTTCTTTCCTTCCTTGGGAGCATGCATACCAAGCCTTCATACTGAGAGCACCGAACTTGCAGAGCAAGTGCATTTACTCACTGTGTCATCTCATGCCCCCTCTGCCCTTTAACACGTGCTTGACTGGGGATAGACACCACAATGTAATGTCCTTTTCTTCTCCCTTCAATGGGTAAGTACGTGCGTGTGTGTATGAAAAATAATCTGTATTGTGTTTAATGCTTAGACATAAAGAATAATGCAGCTAGTGGTCAAACTCTCCAGTGGTTGGAGTTCGGCACGTAATACTATGGATTTGGTATTTGTTTCTATTTCCATTAAATTACATCTTTTATTGCTGCATACATTTTCTTTTTTTATTAATTTATTTTATATAACAAAGTCCAATTAAATGAAAACAAACATTTATACACAATATTTGGGAATTTGGGCGTTGTTCTTTCCAAAGTACTTCCTGCTGGTAAGGGGCGCTGTCATGGGGGATTCGAAGAAGATTCAGAAATCCTGGCTGTAGTCTGTAAGGCTGCTTTGTACAGCTATTTTGAATGTAGGATCACCTTGTACTCTGTTTCAGGCGGTCTGGCGTGATCAAACCACATTAGTCTGGAAGGAATCCACATCTTTTCATTTTCTGTGGAAACAAAAATAGAAATCCTTTTCCCCAGTAACTTGTCCTTCAACTTAAATTTTGGAATCAAAGAATTTTTTTTTTTAAATTTAATTTATTTTACATATCGATCCCAGTTCCCTCTTCCTCCATCCCTCCCTCCCTCCCTCCTTCCCCTCCCTTTTACCCTCTCTGCCCTCTCACATGCACTCTAAACACCCTCCCCTCCCATTCCCCCACCCCAATTCCATATGTAGGGGAATGCCATCCAGTTGGGGTCATGTAGATCTGACAGGTCATGTGAAGTAGGGACTAGGGCTTCTCTCCTGTCTCTAGATTAAGGCAGTTATCCCTCCATGGGGGATGTGTTCGCATCCCCCATGTGTCCTTTTGTGCACCAGGGATACATCCTGGCTCCACTGTCTGAGGTCTCTTAGACTGCTCAGTCCTTCTGGCTGAGACCCATATTCAGGGGGTCCTGAGTCAGTCCCATGCTGGCTTCCCAGCTATCAGTCTAGTGGCCTTTAGCTCCTCCTTGTTCAGGTAAGCTGTCTGTATGTGTTTCTGCCCCATGGTCTTGTCCTCTCCATCTGCATCTGGGTTCTAGTTTGACTCAGTGTTTATGTATGGGTGTTTGATCCTGTTTTCAACAGGCGTTAGTTGAGGGCTCCATGGAGAAGTTAGTTGTTGATCTCACTCTCCGGGAAGGGCATTTATGATAGCCTTTCCACGGAAGCTCAAATTATTAGTTGGGAGCAGTCTTGTAGTTCTCTAGACCTTTCTTTGTGTTCAGTTTTATCTTCAAACCAATATTGGCTCCCTCTTTTATGTTCTCTCTCTGTGTCTCTGTCTCTCTCTCTCTCTTTCCTATCTTCTATTCCTAACCAGGCTCAATCTTCCTGGTCGCACATGTTTTCCTTTCCTCCCCATCGTTTTCTCCTACTTCTCTCTCCATTCGCTGCCCCCCCCTCCCCACTTCCCCTGAGCTCTGGGGGACTTGTCCCTTCCCGGTTCTGTGAGGGACTTTATATGAATCTCTTAGAATACACCTTGTATCCTAGTTCCTCTGGTGATGTGAATTATAGGATGGAGATCCTTTGCTCTAGGTCTAAAATCCATATATGAGTGAGTACATACTGTGTTCCTCTTTTTGTGACTGGGTTACCTCATTCAGGATGGTTTCTTCAAGTGCCATCCACTCGCCTGTGAATTTCAAGATTCCATTATTTTTTTCTGCAGAGAAGTATTCCATTGTGTAGATGTGCCACATCATCTTTATTCATTCTTCAGTTGAGGGGCATCTAGGTTGCTTCCAGGTTCTTGCTATTACAAATAGTGCTGCTATTAACATAGTTGAACAGATGTCTTTGTTGCATGGATGTGAATCCTTTGGGTATATGCCTAAGAGGGGGATTGCCAGGTCCTGTGGTAAACTAATTCCCATTTTCCTGAGGAATTGCCATAGTGATCTCCAAAATGGCTGTATGAGTTTGCACTCCCACAAGCAGTGGAGGAGTGTTCCACTTTCTCCACATCCTCTCTAACATAAGTCATCACTGGTGTTTCTAATTTTAGCCATTCTGGCAAGGGTAAGATGGTATCTCAAAGTTGTTTTGATTTGCATTTCCCTGATAGCTAAGGATGTGGAGCATTTTCTTAAGTGTCTTTCAGCCTTTTTGATTTCCTCTATTGAGAATTCTTTCTTCAGTTCTGTACCCCATTTTTTAATAGGGTTATTTGGTGTTTTGTTGACTAGTTTCTTGAGTTCTTTGTATATTTTGGAGATCAGCCCTTTGTCAGATATAGGATTGGTGAAAATCTTTTGCCAGTCTGTGGGCTGCCGTTTGGTCTTGTCTACTGTGTCCTTTGCCTTACAGAAGCTTCTAAGTTTGAAGCGGTCCCATCTATAGTGATTGAGAGTTTTGCTGGATATAGTAGGCTAGGCTGGCATCCGTGTTCTCTTAATACTTTTAGAACATCTATCCAGGACCTTCTGGCCTTGAGGGTTTCCCATGGAGAAGTCAGGTGTAATTTTGACAGGTCTGCCTTTATATGTTACCTGTCCTTTTTCCTTCGCTGCTCTTAATATTCTTTCTTTATTCTGTATGCTAGGTGTTTTGATTATTATATGTCGAGGGGTCTTTTTTCTTTGGTCCAGCCTATTTGGGGTTCGGTATGCTTCTTGTACTTTCATGGGCATGTCCTTCTTCAGATTTGGAAAGTTTTCCTCGATGATGATTTTGTTGAATATGTTTTCGGCACCTTTGAGCTGGGCTTCCTCACCTTCCTCTATGCCTATTATTCTTAGGTTTGGCCTTTTCATGGTGTCCCACATTTCCTGGATGTTTTGTGTTAAGGATTTGTTGGATTTATGATTTTCTTTGGTCGATGAATCTATTTCTTCTAGTTTATCTTCTGCGCCTGAGATTCTCTCTTCCATCTTTTGAATTCTGTTGGTTATGCTTGTATCCATAGTTGCCGATTTTTTGCCCAGCTTTTCAATTTCCATCATTACTTCAGTTTGTGTTGCCTTTATTTTCTCAATTTCAGTTTTCAAGTCTTGAACTGTTTCCTTCACCTGCTTAATTGTTTTTTCCTGGCTTTCTGTACTTTCCTTAAGGAATTTGTTCATTTCTTCCACTTTTTTGTTTGTTTTTTCCTCCATTTCTTTAAGGGATTTTCTCACATCTTCTTTGAGGGCCTCTATCATTTTTATGAAGGTAGTTTTTAAGTCGTACCCTTCTGCTTCCTCTGCTTTGTTGTTGTGTTCCATTCTAGTTGGTGTAGATTCCCTAGATTCTGGTGGTGTCATGCTTGTCTTTCTGTTGTTAGGTGTTCTATTGTATTGCCTTCTTCCCATAGCTTCTTCCAGTAGGTGTTGGTGGGGTCTCCCCCTCTCTCTATGGTACTTCCCGATGGGCTTATGTGGGTCTGAGATTCAATTCTGTAGCTCTGTGTGGTCCAAGCTCTCTAGGAGGTTTCTCCACAGACAGGGATCCAGGGATGGGGTCAGGGCTGAGGATCCAGAAGAAGATGCCAGCAGGTAATCACAGTGGTCCTCTGGCCAATAGCTCTGGCCAATAGTTCTGGCCAATAGCTGGCGGAAGAGGGCAAGGGCTGAGCTGGAACTTGAGAAGGTTTTGCAGGATAGTAGGATCTCACTGGAAACTGACGCTCTCCAGCTGGGACCTCTTTCTTTGGCAGAGGCCAGGATTTGGGGGGGGGTCAAGAATCTTGCCTGCAGGAACTCAAAGTGGACCCACAGAGATAGGCAGATCTCTGGGACGGGCCCAGGACTCCAGCAGAGGACTGGAGGTGGGGGTCAGAGACCAAGCTGGTGGAAATTATGGGTGGTCCTGCGTGGATAGTCAGGTCTCCTTTGTTCAGAGCTGCTCCGAGAAGTCTCCCAAGTAGGGTGGACTGTTGGCTCCACCCTCTGTCCCAGTGCTCAACCAGAGCGGCAGGACCATGGGTAGGGTAGGGCACAGGGTGGGGGGTAGGGCTGGCAGTGGGGATGGGTGGAGGTGTATCAGAGCTTCTAGGTGCTCTCGATGGGGACCGGAGACAGGAGCAGCAGGATCAGGGGCCCTGCTGCATACATTTTCAATAGCACTCTTGTCATTACTTTGTATAGGACAGGAATTGAAATACTACATCTAGAGATTGGCAGCTTCCATATCACCGCTGTCACTGTGAATAGAACCAGGCACCAGGGACTTTGGGGACTTAAAACTAGGGGTGCTCTAATCTGTGAGCTGTGAGATAACTCAGTCTGACAACTGAGTGTGGGGCATTAAAGGCTCTGTGGCAATTTACTTTACCACTCTAGCATATTAAAAATGTATTTTCCATACTTAATATTTTTCACTTTTATTTCCTTATCTTTTCCGGTTTATTTTCTCTTTTTCTGTCTTATTAAACAATTTTAAGGAGGCACTAATTTACATACTGAACTCAGAAATAAAATACAAGTTAAAGATTTATTGAATAGTTATTGTTTTCTTTTCTTTGCTTTTATTTTCTTTGGCTGGGGATTGGTTTGAGACAGGGTTTCTCTGTATATTCCTGGCTGTCCTAGAACTTACTCTGTTGATAAGGTTGGCCTCCAACTCACAGAGAGATCCACCTGCCTCTGCCTCTGCCTAAGTGCTGGGATTCACCACCACTGGCAACCTATTTTTGTTTAAATTACATTTTTTGTTTGGGGGGCTAGAATACATGTGTCACAGTGCACTTGTGCAGGTCACAGGACACTTTCAGAAGCAGTTCTCGCCTCCATCTTGGGATCCTAGCATCGTTGTACTCAGGTCATTAGACTTGATGACAGACATCTTTATCTGCTACACCATCTTTTTCCCTGAATTTTTATTTTCTTGAACAAATTGGGTTTAATTTACTGTTGATCTCAACTCTAATATTTGTAAATATTTCTAATTTTTAAAATAATAAGATGCACAGATTTTTCAATATCTAAGACTGATCTTTTCATAGTGACTAATAATAATGAGATCTTGTAATTAGTGTGTAGTAGGCTCATTTCATAATGTAGTAAATTAAAAAATTTTAAATCCTGTTATAAAAAGTAAAATTCCATTGGAATTCATTTTACTTTAAATTTGATTTATGTGTACTTTCTTCTCCCCTCCGCTCCTACTTCCTAAGGTGAACAACCATGTACCAGGTATAGGATATCAGATATTTGGAAATGCCATCTCCCTGATCCTGGGCTTAACTCCATTTGTTTTCCGACTGTCCCAAGCAACAGACTTGGAGCAACTCACAGCCCATTCTGCCTCAGAACTTTATGTGATTGCATTTGGTTCTAACGAAGATGTCATGGTTCTTTCTATGGTACTAATAAGTTTTGTGGTTCGAGTATCTCTTGTATGGATCTTCTTTTTTTTGCTGTGTGTAGCAGAAAGAACATATAAACAAGTGAGTATGATATGAAGAATATTAGTTTACCCTTTTCATAGCACTCCCAAGTATTCCTTAAGTATTTTAGTATTTCATGAAACACTAGTGTAACTTTTATTTTGCTTTTAAGTCATAACAATTTATATTTTGTATAATAATTGTATAAATTATATAATATTTTATCCAATAATCTCCATCTTAATGTTTTTTAGCGATTACTTTTTGCAAAACTCTTTGGACATTTGACATCTGCAAGGAGAGCTCGGAAGTCTGAGGTTCCTCATTTCCGGTTGAAGAAAGTACAGAATATAAAAATGTGGCTGTCTCTCCGTTCCTATCTTAAGGTAGAATGCTATTGACAAATGAACTGTTAACATACTGTCTTTCCCAGCAGTTTCAGTGTCTTCCTGTCTGTAGGTGTAGGGGGTTATTATTGTCAACAGTTTCTCACTCAAAGACTGGTTTGAGGATTTTGTTTCTCCCTATGGTTTTCACAAACCAGTAGAGGGAGCCCACTACTTAAAAACCAATCTTGAGGACTCTAAGCAGTGAGACCTCCTTCTCTTTTAGTCTCCACATCACCCTGTGTTTGAACACTGCTCCTTCCTTTGATCTTTTAAAGAGTCTAGCCATTTGGGAAAGGGAAGTGTGGAATCTCTAGACTCCTAGGAGAGGAAAATGCCTGAGTTAATTTTAAGGATACCTTTTCCCCTGGGGATTCTGTTTTTATAGTAAATAGCAGCAGTGGGTTTTATTATATATGGAATATTCAGGTGCTTATGCAAACAGTGTATGTTCCAAAAACTAAGAATCCACCAAACTAGATCTTTAAAGCTTTTTATTTTTAAGTGACAATGAAAAAAGTAGAAGAAAATAGTACCTACTTTTACATTTTAAATTTTCATTATTCTGTTTATCACTTTGGCTTGTTAAGTCTTTTGGCTTACTGGAAATCATTTTCCTCTCAGCCTGAGGACTGCATTACTTGTTTAACTGCGCTGTGACCCTCTCTGCTTTGTGGGTTTGTTTGTTTGTTTGCCTAGGACAGTGCTATATGCCATCTTGTTCTGTAGATGATATAAGTGCCAGTTTCTTAGGAACTAACCCACAAATCTGAACCACCGTCCCTGACATTAACCTCAGAGCACCCAGTGTATACCTGCTCTTCATAGCTCAGTTTCTCTCTGCTGCTGGCCCTATGAAGGAGGAGGTTTGGGGAGCTGTGTTCCCTGCTGTATTCCGAGCACCTAGCACAATGCTTAGTTTTGGGCATATGCCCAAGAAACAGTTGTTGAATAAATGGTTATAGTGTGGAGCAAAAAAGAGTTACACTAATGCATCTGTGCTATGCAGGTACAACATTCACAGTGTTATCAAATTATATGGCTCTATTAACACTTTACAATTCATCTGGAAAGTTGTGAGGTATCACCAACCTGTAATACCTTAACTGAAAGCATGGAAATTGTCTGTTGTTTAGTAAATATATTTAAAAGTGTTTCCTTTTTTTCTCTAGCGTCGAGGTCCTCAGAGATCAGTTGATGTCATTGTTTCGTCTGCTTTCTTACTGACAATTTCAGTTGTGTTTATCTGTTGTGCTCAGGTGAGTTCACTTGTTACATGTAGAAATTCAGCCGTCACTAGGTAAACGCTCAGTGTCTAAACATGACTTAAGTTTTTCAGTTAACGTACAGGGTATTGGATATCATCATCTCGTGTTTGAATGAAGTGAGTTTTCCTTCATGAATGAAGAGCTTCTCCCCTCTTTGTCTCCCCCACAGCCTACGACTATGAGCGCCCCTTGTACACCCTCTTTTGCACAACTGGACCCTTTCATTGTTTCCTGTCTTATGTTACCTTGTGTAGACCACCTTCTCATTCTTCCTTTCACTTATTACTCGCTTGGTCTCCTTTCTACACGCACACACACATGCACACACACGAGGGAGAATCTTCATTTTTTGCCCAAGATTGGGTCATATTGTTTAATATTATATTTTCAAATCCATGTTTTTTTCCTGCAGATTTTCTTTTTCTTCACAGGTGAGTAAAATTCCATTGTGTATATGGACCGCAGTTTTATTATTCATTTGTTTGTATTGATAAATATCAAGATGGTTCCACTTTCTTGCTCTCGAATACAGCAGCAATACACATCAACGTGCAAATAAATAACTAGGTTTTAGAAAGACTTCTGATAGGAAAAGCAATAATATCAACAAGCCACTAGACAGGTTTTTTTAAAGATGTATTTATTTTTATTTTGTGTGTATAAATGTTTTGCCTGCATGTGTGTATGATTTTATGTGTATGGGTGTTTTGTCTGCATGCATGTATGTATGTGCACTACGTGTGTGCCTGGTGCCCATGGCATGTCAGAAGGGGTCATCGTATCCCTTGGAACTGGAGTTACAGGTGTCTGTGAACCACAGTGTAGGTGTTGGGACCCGAACCTGTGTCCTTTCCAAGAGCAATAAGTGCTCTTAACTACTGAACCTCAGCCCCTTAGACCAGATGTCTTGTAACTTTTTGTTGAGTAAGAAATTGCATCTTATTATTCTCTGTGTCATAAACAATATGCATATAGTCAAATGCCTATTGAATTAACATACAACAAGTAATTTTTGTTTAGAAATCTATGCATTTGTCCTTATTGCTTAAGTCAGTAGTTATGAAATGGCTCCCATCTCTGGTTTCTCCACATTTAGTATTCATTTAAATTTTTCTTATCCCTGAATTGTCACTGTACTTTGATTGTTAGATCATTGATAAAGGATTCTATTCTCAATAGTCAACGTATTTGTGTAAGCTTCCACCTCAGATATGAGAAATTACTTGAAAAATCACCTGCTGTAAAGCACCAATGGTGCTAATGGTTGGGTTGGTATGTATACGTGAAAATTTTTAATATATGTATATGTGAATTCACAAGACAGTGTCATCAAAAATTTAGAAAAAGCTTGAAAATTAGAGCAATTATGTATATGCACTCATTTGATCCTATGACAACCCTAGAGTAAGAGGGTAAGAGTTATTGTCAGTCCTCGTGTTTCTTAAGTAAACTATATGTCCACATGAGGGTAGGAGTTGATGCCTTGAACAGCATCTCTAGCTATACCAGGAAGTAGGAGCTCTCAAAAGCCTACAGCCTTGAGTAAAGTCAAGTAGGTAAGTAAAACAGGTAGACAGCAAGAAAACTGTATCTAACTCTGGATAATAAAGACAGGCAAATTCTCCCTCCTAAGAATAGGTCAGTTGGCATTACATATATCAACTTAAAATTCCCATGTCAACAAGTTAATACAAGATGTGGTCCTTAGTGCCTGGATACATAGCAGAAGTAAAACCAAGATTGTCCTGAGGGTGACTTTAGCCTAGACTTGACAGAATTTACATATTAAAAGCACAAAAACAAATTAAACATGAGTCAGCAGATCAATAAATAGCAGGACAGTTTGCCACCTGTGCCACACAATAGAGTAAGCACCTAGAAACCAAGTCTGCCTAGAAAGATTAAACACAGCACTTCAAGAAGAGAATAAAGATTTTTATATTGTTCTTTTGTTTTCATTTCTCTTTCCAAGATAGAAGTTTCTGTGTGATTTTGTAAACCAGGCTGGCCTAGAACTCACATAGATCCACCTGCCTCTGCCTCCTGAGTGCTAGGATTAAAGGAGGCTGAGAACATAGATTTTTTAAATAAGAACCAATAGTACCTCAGAGAAATGAAAAAATAATCATTGGCATTTAAGCATGATGGACAAAATAAATCAAGGATTAAGAGATTCATTTAGTGAACTGTGATATTAAAGAAATGACCTACAATCCAGGGCACATAAAGATGGCAAATGCAAAACAGGTATAGAGACGGGTGGGAACTCATGTGTCTAACAGGAAATCAAGGAGAAAGAATAGAACTCAGTATTTGCAGAGACTTTGTGAATTTTTCAGAATTGATTAAATGTTCTTAATATACAAGGACAGCTTGTTAAACTCTCCTATGTACTGGACACAGGACAGTTGTCAACTATGCAGGGCACAGCAATGAATGCCTGTACTTGAGAAGCTGAGGCAGGAAGATTTGAATGTAAGAAGTTAGCAGAAAAACTCATACCCAGCTAACATCAAATGACACAGACGACATGATCCAGCTATAATATAATCAGCCAAGAAACAAATAGCAACAAGTAAATTCATTTAGACTTTTTTAAATACATATTTTTAATTTTTAAATGGTATTAAACTACTTACTGACACAGTTAAGAATTATGAGTTCTCAATTACAAGTGTTAATTACAGCACTGAAATTTGTATGTGGGTTCCAGGAGTCAGAATGAGAGACTTGTGTTTCTGTGGGAAGTGTTTTTCCCATCTCCCCAACAATTAGCTCTGTTACAGTATAACCTTTATAGCAGCAGGACCAGAAAGCACAAAAAGGGGAAAGTTGGAGTTAAATTATTCTCTTAAATATACTGTCCTTCAACAAAATGTTACAGAGGAGCAGCCTGAAATATTACAGCTTTAAGCTGTGACCAAGATGATTTATCCCTGTGGTGAAAGGGTCTTGAACTTCAGAAAGTCCAGTGAGGTAATTTCATGCCTATGGTTTGCTACAGAAAGAGAAACCATGCAGTTATGTCAATAATGAAGAAAGCAAATTATAATTTTCAGCAGAGAATTAGTATTTATTAATTGTACAAATTACTAATTTTCCCCATGACACATCATATGCATATCTGTGTGCTGACCATCTGAAGTCCTGAGGACAGTTGGGATTACAGTCACAACCACATGCAGTTAAACAGAATGTTGATTTTTGTTTTTTTAGTTTAGGTAAACTTCCTAAATTCATCCAGGGCTTTTGAGGGACAAGCTGCCTGATTAGAGATACGGGATTGCTTCTTGGATTGCAGGAAGACTGTTTTTGATAGAGAAGTGGGATGGTCAGGGGGTGAAACAGTTCTGCAAACCCATGCAAGTCACATGATGCAGTGGCTTTGTAAATTGATCCAAGAAGGCTCACATGATAGGGGTGAAATGAGTCTGGAGCAAATGAAAAGAACTTCACACTGGGATTGAATTCTATGTAGAATAACGATTTAAACAACAAAATTTATAATTCAATCACAAAATGTATGGACTATAAAGGGCACTATCAGTGACAAAATGGGATCTGGGAAAATACACTGGCAAAACACAACTTCAATGGGGATACTATATCGAAAACTTTAAAAAAAGTCCAGCTTCTAAAATTTTCACTCAGGGTTCAAAAAAAGGAACTACACATAAGCGAGAGAACTATGATCTGAGGGAAAAGGAACGGACTCAGACAATCGCTCCTGTGTGTTCCTTTATTTGTTTGCTCTTTCTCAACTGCTGTTCTGTTTGTCTATCTCTGCATTCTGTTGTCTCTAGAATTCTTCTCCCTAACTCTTTTTCTGTTTTTTGTTTGTTTGTTTTGTTTTGTTTTTTGTCTCTCAAGTTCTTGTCTCCCTCCAGTTCTTGGGAACTGGGACACACACACACACACACACACACACACACACACACACACACACACACAATTCTTTTTACAATACAATATGAAGCTTTGAGTTTCTCAGGGTCAACCAGGCAGATAAGATTTACACACAGACCAATAAACTAAAACTGCTAGAAGGAACTTTTAGCATCAGTTATTTAGGGCTGTAGGTCAAAGAGAGTGTCTAAGTTTAATTTGCACAAGAAACAAAACCTGGCGCCTTCCAGTGATCTGGTTCTATGGCAGCACAGACCTTCAGGAAAGTTTACTTTTCCCCTGAGTGAGGATGAGCAAATGGGCTGATTACCTTTGTCTTTACCTTCTCAGGGGAAACAGGAGGGGAGTGGTAAATCTCTGAGCTAAAATCTTGAGTTAATAAAACAAGAAGTTTGAGAATCTCCTACTGCAGGGTGAGCTTAGGTTATCACTTTCTCTATCACCAGTGAGGTAAAGCCAAGGGCATGCTTATATTTTTTTATCCATCTAGGCAGCTATGAATCAACAACTTTAAATGTGTAGTAGTTTTATGTCCTTGGATATTTGGGAATGTCTTAGATGGGATGCTTTTGCCTAGGCCCTAAACACTGACCAAATGCCTGTAAATAAAGATAGTTGCAGAAAGGCAGATCTTAGCAATTACAATGGAGAGGGGAACAAAGACCTGATAGTGGGAAATAGGCCTCACATATAGCTAAGGAATAAAATAAGTAAACTAGGACCTGCTAATGGAGAACAGGTATTTACACATAGCTAGGGAATGTAATCATTAAAACTTCAAATGCATGAGAGAAATTTGTTCCCAGTAAATGATCAGATTGTGCTGAACTGTGGGAAGTATATCCCAAGTTTGTTACAGAAAGGAATAAGCAACAGGAAGAATCTACAGCAAGACACAGCCAATTCATTCATGACATTATAACACCAGGTACAGCTTTGTACTGTACTGGTTTCATCCATCAGAAGAATCCTTAATTCTTCTAAGTTATTTGTGATGCAAAGGCTGTATAATTACTATGTGATCTTGTGGCTTGTAGAAATATTACAAGTCTTCGCAAGAAGTCTTCCTAACAGAAGTTATAAAATATAAAAAGGTAACTCAACAGAGAGAAACCAGTAGCCATTAAGAGAGTGGAGCATTCTCATCTTTCCCAAGTATCAGGGAAAGTTAAGATTAAATTAGTGAGTGTTGAGTGTACACCCACGAGGGTGCCATATGTTAAGAAGTTGGTTGGATGAGGATAAACAAAAATAAGGGCAGGCAGAATTTGAAACATGGCCGAATGTGAAGTGGTACCACTATTTACAAATTAACAAATATGCAACATCGTAGCTGGTAGTTTTAGGCCTACATATTAATACCTAACAGAAACCTTGCTTATGTGGACAAGGACATACAAGACTGTTGCTGCATTGTTGGTGATACATTGACAACAACATAAATACTAGTTTTGGAGCAGACTAAAATAATTATGGTTGATTCTTTTACTGTAACTTATAGGAGTTAAAATGAACTAATTCAAAGTCGAATGCTTCAGCATGGGTAAATCTTAGAAACAAGGCTCAGTGGAATAAAAAACAAACTAAAGTTGGCAAGACGGCCAGTGGGTAAAAGTGCTTGTTTCTGAGCCTGATGATCTGAGTTCAGGTCCCAGAACCAACATGGTGGATAGAGAGGACAGATTCCTGAGGATTGTCCTGACTGTCACACAGGCATGTGTTATGACATGTGCATGTGTCTCCTCTCCACTCTCTGGGAGGATGGATGGAGAAAGAAAGTAAGTTGAATATGATGTTAAATAATGTGGAAATACTGATGTAAAAGTCAAGTTATAGATACAATAACAGTTTAAAGGTGAATGTTGAAGGTGAGCGATGTACCACCACAGTAGAGTGGTACCTACTTTCCCTAGCCTGCAGAAGCTCTGGGCGCCCAGTACTCACATAGGAGAAATATAACCACAGGATGAATTATTATTATTTTATTATTAACTATTAAATTATTAATTTATATTAATTATTAAAAGCCTTCCTGGAGGGGCTGGAGAGGCGGCTTTTCCAGAGGACCTGAATTCAATTTCCAGCACCCACATGGTGACTAACAGCCATCTGTAATGAGATCTGGTGTCCTTTTCTGGCCTGAAAGCATACATGCAGGCTGAACACTGTATATATAATAAATAAATATTTTTTCAAAAAGCCTACATGGAAACAAGAAACACAAAATTTACCTTGGGATAGAGTCAGACAGAGAAAATATAAAGGTTTAGTAAGTACTATAAAATATTAAGATTAAAAAGTGGCTGAACTCATAGCTGTTGAATATCTTATTCTCCGTACTTCTGATATGTGTAAATACCTCATGGTAAATATGTTCTAAAAACATACTACATTTATGAGCAATCCATTTAAGTGCGTTTTGTTTTGAAGCGAGGGGTGCTACTCACATTGCCGCTTGACTGTTTGTCTTGTGTGCTCCCAGCTGCTCCATGTGCATGAGATCTTCCTGGACTGTCATTACAACTGGGAGCTGGTGATCTGGTGCATCTCCTTAACACTGTTCCTCCTGCGGTTCGTGCTTCTTGGATCAGAAACAAGTAAAAAATACAGCAATACCTCAATACTACTTACAGAGCAGGTGAGTTTACGCTCTTATAAATGAATCTTTGTAGTCTACAGTCCGTGTGTGTGTGTGTGTGTGTGTGTGTGTGTGTGTGTGTGTGTGTGTGTGTGTGTGTGTGTGTGTGTGTGTGTGTGAGAGGGGGGGGAGGGTGAGTATGAGTCCTGGCAGAAAACATCTTCCCCACTGACCAGCCCATATACATACTAATTTAAAACATTTTTTTTCTTTTGCTTATTTCCTATTTTTGAGCATTTTTAAAAATTAAGGTCATTCATACTGTGAAACTCTATTTAAATTTTGATACTACTGTCTTTCTATAGTGTTTCTGCCATGATTCACATTTGCAATCAGATCTGCTGTTTATGTGTTCCATTTTCATTTAGGAGGTAGTAGTATTTATAAAAATGATAGATTTTAATCATTAGTGGGCTATGATGCCTCTGCATTGTAACAGAACCACATTGGAGTAAATTTAAATTTTTATTTAGCAGAGAGAATAAAGTATAATAATTTTGATAATTGGCTTTATTTTATGAGTTTGATAAATATTTCCTCTTCCTCTTGCTATTTCATAAAAATTATACAAAAGAAATCTTTGCTAATGAGCTTCTTTGGATATTTTAGTTAGGAAGAACTTGTATTTTAAACATTGAGTAGTTCAGTTGACTATATTAGATGGAGGAAGAGTTATCACTCTCATGGACTTAGACAGGTCAACCACTTCCTCAGAAGCTGATGGCTTTTCTGTTCACCTCCTCCTGTACCTCCTGTAGATTACTACTCTGTGCTGGCTTACATGTAGTTTGGGTTTGTCTTATTATAACTTTTGTCCTTGACGTTACCAACTGTCCAGTTCATAGCACCTAGAACTTGGTTTTGGTTGGGGTTGTGGCTGCCTGAGTAAAGTGGGAAGAAGGATCAGGTGGGTAAACACAGTGTATTTAGAGGCTTGGAATTAGAGCCTTTTCAAGGAAGGGACCTAAACTGGGCAAGTACCCCAAAAGCATCTATTAGGGAGTAAATGATAAAGATATGCAAATACTCAAATTACTTTCATAATTCAAAAAAATCGTGATCTAGTTCACTGAGTTTATTCTATTGCTATTTATTCTCTTAAGTTGATATGGCCCTGAGAATACAATGTCTACCTTCTTAAGAGTTTTCTTATTATCAAGTAAGTTTATTATAAGATTTGAAATGTATAATAATATATAAATATTAAAAATTATTTGTAATGTTAATACCCAGAGAACCACTATTAATGTTGTGGTGACTTTCAGACCTGTTCAAGAAATCATTTGTGGGCGGGGCCTAACTCATTGGTACTGTGATTGTGTAGTAAGCATGAGGTCCTGGGTTCAGTCCCCAACACTGCGAAAGAAAAGCATATATGTTACAATTTTAAATGATTTTATGATGGGGCTTTTTTATATAAAAGATAAACCTCTACTTGAAAATGGAGAAGAAACCTAACAAAAAGGAGGAACTGACACTTGTGAATAATGTTTTAAAACTGGCTACTAAACTATTGAAGGTAAGAAAAGAATTGAAATTGATGAGGAATGTTCTGTTCTGATATTGTATCTTAGACTCTGTAGATTCTGCCTTGCATGTAGTTGTCATTATTACCTAAGTTGCTTCCAAATTACATTTGAATACATTTGTACAGCTTTGTTTTGTTTTTCCTTGCTCAAGTAATCCAAATAATTTCTTTGAAAAGTATGTGTAGACACTTACTAATGTTGAGAGTATTATAGATGCTTTGCTCTGTGTATGTTGTTTAATCAATTTCATCTAGACACATTTCACAAAAGATTAGAAGCTAACTCAGAAGTTGCTTATTTTGTATTTCATAGAAGTCTCCTCTTGATCCACATTAACTTAAAAAGCAATGATACATAGTCATTGTAGTCATTGTTGTATTATACATATTGTCAGTAAACGTTTAATTTGAAAATCAAAGACTGTAATGATGTGTTTGGTGTCATAATATCCTTGGGAAGTAAAAAAAGTCTTATATTAATTTTGCATCAGGATCTTGCTATGTAACTCTGATTGGCTCAGTATTAACTGTGCCACCCATGGTGACTTCATACTTGTGGCTACTTCCTGTCTCTGTCTCCCAAGTGCTGGGATTACAGGTGTGCCACAATGCCTGGCTCTCTGGAGATAATACAATAGGAAATTTTAACCATTGTGTTATGGTATTGCTTTTCTTTGTTAAAACTAAAATCTATTTAAGATTATTAATTTCTATAACTGAGCATAATACTGAGAGTTTTAGTTTTCAGAGAATGGTATGAAGTGAGTTGTGGCTTGGTGATAGGGTCATCCTTTGTCAACTATAGTATGAATTGAGTATAGACCGTGACTCATGGGAAATCGGACATCAGAAAGGTCCAGAGGAGGAATGACATAGAGGGATAATAAAACAGGCAGTTATTGATTGCTTTTATAACTTTCTTTAAAAGGATCTTGAGGAAGATGATAGGGTTTAAATAAGCAAATTAATACAGACACATATCTTCACCCACCTTTTTTCCCCTCAAAGAAATGACCTTGGATTGATGGTTCTCTGTGGCTTGCTGCTTTCGTATTGGGGATCTGCAGGGTGCCCTGTGGCTGACAGCGGGAACGGATCCTGTGAAGTGTAGAGACAAAAGCTCAACTCAAGGCATAAACTCATGTTGTGAGCCAGCCCAGAGCTTGGGCCAGTTACCAGCCAGGAGCCCCCTTTCCTATCTCTTACTCAAGCACCTGACACACATGATGCAAGCACCCTACTTCTGTGGCTACTGCTCTGCCCCCCACATTGCCATCCCAGAGACTGCTTCCCGCGAGTCTGCCGTCTTCTGCTCTGGTCTAAGTCCCCTTAGTGTGAGCTATGGTCAAGTCTGCCTAGGGAGCAGCTAGCCCTCTAAGTCAGTGCATTCCCTTGTGTTGGGGCTCTGCCAGTGCTCAATAGCCTATAGAAGCTTTTCCAGCTCTGCCTTCTTCGAGTCCTACTCTTTGTAAGGCTAGCCTGCATGTCTCTGGTGGAGGATCTCACTTTATTATTTGCATGCTTATAAGCTGTAAAGTTCTTCAGTTTAAGGACTGAATTTTACCTTCCCAAAGCCCAGCATGGTGCCTGTCCTATAAACAGACCTTTTAATATTTGAGTCATCCAATGAATTAGTTAATTGTATTTTTGAAGATGAGTTGACTCAAATGAAATTGAGTAGTGTTCTCAGCTCTGTTTGGCTCTTAGCCCTGAACTTACCCTCCTATAGCCAGTGAGTCAAGGCTTTACTAGGCACTTGTTTATAACAGAGATTATTTTTAAGGAAGTCACTTTTCTTGAAAAAAATTAATACCACCATTAAAATTTACTTATTTCAAATTTAGGTAAGTTTGTATTTTCTAAAGTACCCATAATTATAACTTCTTGAGTAGTGCTTTCTTTTTAAACTCTCTTTTTGCATATTGGGGCTTTAGTTTAACTGGAAACTGTTACAGGACCTGAGACTAACATTGTGTCTGCTCTGCTAGGAACTGGACAGTCCCTTTAGGTTGTATGGACTCACAATGAACCCGCTGCTGTACAACATTACCCAGGTTGTCATCCTGTCAGCTGTTTCTGGTGTCATCAGTGACTTGCTTGGATTTAATTTAAAGGTAAAACCTGTGAGTCTTGCTTGGTTTCCTTTAACCTGTTTCTCTTCTGTCATTTCACATGCATAGTGGGTTTGTTTTGTCAAGTCTGTACAATTAGTAACAGTGGCTACACATTTAACTTCAGGGACTTCATATGCTCATGGATTTTCATATTGATAGAATGTCTAATTTGGAACAGAATTCATTATATATTGGACTCTTTTAGGGTAAGAGGAGGAAGTGTTTATTTTTCCTCATTAATTGTAATTGATTCTAATGACTGAACAAAAAGAGCCATTTTCTTTTGTTAGCCAAAATTACATTATTTATATACCAGTGGACACACTCTCCAAATAAGGTCTAGAAAGCATATATTAAACAAGCATTAGATATATATTGGCATTTCTCAGGTTTTCACCCCGTTTCAGATGAGTCACACCGTTGAGATGAGCAGGACAAAGGTGCTCAATCACCGCGTTCTTCACCTGTGTGGAGTTTTAGGCTGGTGTGCAGACGCACTTCACCTTCCATATATTATTGGTGATCATGACTTGTAATTTTTTTCTGTAGCTGTGGAAGATTAAATCATGACAGTTAGAGATGAAGACGTGGCTCGTTTCCCAGAACGTGAGTGCTGATGAAGCTGTCTGAACGCCAGTCACTGGCTCTGCTCTGGAGTCTGCTGGGAACGAAGTGTTTACATCAGGCTGTACTGTGCAATTCTTATATTTATTTTGCTTGTTTACTGTTTTTGTTGTTGTGTGTGTGTGTTTCTTTCATTCTTTCTTTTTTACATTTTAGTCTGTTTGAAGCATTGAAGTTCTTAGTTGTTGAAAGGGTGACAAAACTGATCCAGATACTTGAGGTCCTGGTAATTGTTCATACAAATTGACAAACAAATTGTGAAAATAGAAGCCATTGCTAAGCACTGTTTCTCCATCAATGCCGTGAACTTGCCTTACCTGATGAAGACTTCAGCTCTGAAATAGTGCGCTGCACTTAGCTAAACACATAGAGCGTGTTGTTTGGTAAACCACGATCCTCTCAGGATCACTTTTGAAATATTTCGAACAATGCTGGGATCTAAACAGATTAAGCTGCAGTTGAAGCACCCTTCAGTATTAACATGTGGTATTATGTAACAGGTCAACAAGTGCTCTTTGATAATAAAACTCTTAATGGAGCAATAATTGTAAATGGTTACCATACTGTAAAATATTTTGATAAAAATTAATTAGTATTAAATGTATTTATTTGAAACACTGAGCTGTTTGCACAGCTCCAACTGTGCATGCTCAAAATGCACTTTTAAAAATTGTTACTTTTGGTGTGTGTCTTTCTGTGGGATATGTTACAGCGTACTAGGGCATAATATGGTATCCTTTTGAGTGAGGTCTGCCCTCATCTCACAAGTGAAGTGCCTCCTACTATCACTAAAGTATGTTACGTTTACTCAGAAGAATTTCCCATGGTACACTATAGCGTATGCTGTCCCTTCCACACTTAAGTGAAGCTTAAGAATAAAATTAAGAACCAACAAAATATTTACCTGATTGCTAGTTATCAAATTTCCCCCAAAAGACGGTCATTCTACCACTCCTAGCCTCTGAATTTAATCTGGTGCACCCCTCCTCCCGGTCCATTATATAAGGGCTATTTTTAGATGCTTTGAACATGGAAAGCTAGCTTCTCTTCCCCTTCAATAACTTGTCAAGTGTCTAGAGGGAGCTTATCATGTTTCCTGTTAGGGAATTAGGGCAGATATGGTAGTCCCTGCATCTGGCCTTGATTCTAAGTTGTTACATTTGTACAATCAGTAGTGTTTTAAGAATTATATGAAACAAAATGTTTTGTGATTGTTTTGTTTAAGCCAAGCATTTGAAACAATCTAGAATTTTCTTGGTGCAAAGTTGTATTGAATATATTGATATTTTTAGCCTATTTTAAGGAATTTAAATAATTGATTGTAAATAATTTGTTTGATTGGTGCAGTTTTAATTCCCATCAGGGATGTGCAGAGAACAGAGCCATGTGATGTGTCGCCTCCGCCCTTCCCTCAGCAGCCTCACTGCAGCCTCGTGGTTGAGTGCTCTTTGTGTAGGAAGCAGCACTGGTTCCCTTGGCCTGTGTTCTACGTCCAATCATGACCAAAGTGCATTCTGAGTACCTTCAAGGAATGTATTACTGGAGCTTTAAGAACATACTTAGTTTCTCATGTGAAGAGTTAGGCTTTGTCTTATATGTTTCTTCCTCTATTGTCTAATGTTGAGGTTGTTTTTAGGCACTATATTTTATAAAGTTTTTCAAAATAAGGTACATACCTATACAGAACTTAACATTTTGCACAGATTATATCAGATATATTTTGAGAAAAAAGTACAGCATGAGTTCTGTTAGGAATAAAAAGACGAAATTATTGTATCTTACAAAAACTTATTTCAGAATGAAAATATTTTTGAGAAAAGTAGTTGGTGTACTGATTTAGGAAAATGCTTGCTTTAGGTTTCAGTTGTGTTTAATGTGGAGTTGGGAGTTGATGTACAGTATACCTGTCAGCAACATGATTGTGCCATTAATGTGGGCAGTGGTAGAATACTAAGAGGAAAAAGGTTTTTAGCAGTTAATAATGTTACAGAATCATTTCAAAGTAGTACGATTACATTGCTGCCTTTAAGAATACCATGAATGTAAGGAGTTGAAATGTTAACATATCACATCATAGAGAAAAAGCAGTTCCGAGGTAGAATTAGGGCAGATGTGTGCTGTTTCTTTGCCACGTGTTGTTTTTGAAAATTTGAACAGCAAGTTTAAAATAAAATGTTCTATGACTGACAGTTTTGTGTCTGTGTATGTTGTTTTAAGTGACGTGTCTGGAACGATTTGTGTTTTCTGTACCTGTAGCTTAAACCCTAGTTACACCTTTAAAAAAGGGACAGTGGAAATAAAGTTTTAACAATCTCTTGACATTTTGGATTTTGTTCAAGTCCTTATAACATGATAGGGTAACAGTGTACACACCAGGATGCTTGTACATAGATAACACTTGCCCCTTTGTACTGGAATGTAGAAAACTGACTGTGGCCTGAAATATTGAAGTTTGGTAGCAGGGTGGTGATATTTTAAACAGTTTTTCCACATAAATCACACTGAGAGGGCATGGCCAACAATGTGGTTAAATGTTCAACTATGTTACCTAATTGACACAAGTGTCCTTGGTGCTCAGGTTCTTCAAGAATAGTCAAGTAACTCAACAGAGCACCCCCACACATTCTCTATCAGACATCAACCAGGAGGAGCTATCACTAACTCAGACTCTACCCAAAATACCACGAGATTCCAAAAATTGGCATGCAGCCCTACAAGATTCCTGTCATTTAGAACCAAGCCAACCCCAGTAGAAATGGGCTCCACAAATGCTTTCCTTTGGTTTACGTTGCTTAAGCAGTTCCTAGAATTCAAGGTAAGTTTTCCATAAAGGATATTATAGTGAAGATAATGGAAGAGGTACCAAGGGCAATCAGCAGTGGCCCTCTGTGGTCCATCCACTCTTCAGGACCCTCCACTACTTTGGAAATCCTCCAAAATTTACAGTTAGAAACTTTATGGGAGTTACCACGTAATTGCTTGGTCTGCTCGTTGCTCTGTTATTTTCCTTCCTGGCCCCTTTATCTCTTTCTGTAGAACATTTAATGGGATTGGAAGCTCTAAGCTTATTGTGACATGGCCTTTCTAAGGAGCAGAAGAATGATTTGAGTCGAAGACCCTTACGTACTGCTTCATGCAAAGACCCCAGTGGGCAGATAAACAGGCCACAAAAATAGGTGAATCTTGTCCAATGTTGCATAGGTTATGATGGATTGCATACATCCTAGGTTCCCATTGCAGGTGTCATCTGTGATGGTGTCTGCTACCTTTCTTCCTTAACTAATCAAAATACTTAGCCATAAGAAAATACTCTGGGATGAACAAAGAAACTGAAACGTTACCTGTATTTCTCATGAGCTTGTGTATAAACTAAACCTCAGCAGGAAAAGGCATAGTGTACCTTGCCCTGGCCTCCCCACTTCATTTGACTGTGTGCCCTCCTTAAAGGACATTGTTTGTCTTCAGCCTCTCATCTTGTGGTTCCTTTCTTAATTTTAAAGCAAGTAATGGATTTCACTATGGCTGTCCTGGGCACTCTACACCAGTACATCAGACTCAGAGGTCGGCTATTAGGTCATTTTTTTATACATGCATGCCATGCTTTAGTTTACCCCTCCCTCGGCCCACTCCCCAAACTCTGGTTTTCTCAGCTATAGGCTGTGGGTGGTAGTACCTGTTTTAAGGGCTATGAGGAGAGTTTGTAAGGACCCAGGCTAAGTACTGGGCACAGGAGCTGAGAAAAAGTTGTGTAGCGAGACTTACCTTTTCTCAAGACAAGCAAGTAGCGGCCTGGGTTAGTTGACAAAAACTTCAAGGTAAACCATTTATGAGAATGTATAAGGAAATGGAAGTCAAGGAGAGTGATTGTAGCACTGGAGAACAGGAGAGACTACTGTGCGGGGACAGGTGGGTGGCAGTGAGGAGGACAGGGTGAGTAAGAATACATGATCACATGAAAACCATTTCTTTGCCAACCAAAACATCAATTTGTTTTTATATATTTAGGGGAAAAGTTACCCTGGGCTAGTGAGGTGGCTCATTAGGTTAAGGCACTTGCTACCAAACTGTGGAACCCATGTGGAAGGGGGCTTCCACAAGTTGTCGTCTGGGGTGTGTGTGTGTCACACTAAATAAATGTAATAAAAAGATACAGGCTTTGTCTCTGAATTCTAGTAAGTCTGTGCATAATTGCCAATTTACAAATGCTTTTGCCAGCTTCTGAGATGCATACTTCATCCACATCCCCTCATTATTAGCTTTGCCTCGTGGGGTACTGTACCAAGACTCTAGAGCAGTATTTCTCTACCTTACTAATACTGCGACCCTTCGTGTTGTGTTAAACCCCCCAGACAAAGTTATTCTTGTTGCTCCTTCGTAACTGATTTTTTAAATTTTTTATTTAAATTAAAAACAATCTTATTTAACATACCAATCCCAGTTCCCTCTCCCGTTCTCCCATGCCCCCCTCCAACCTTCTATCCCATTTGCCTTCCACTCAGGGGGCATCATCAAAGTCTGTCACATCATTTGGTGCAGGACCTAGGCCCTCCCCCTTGTACCTAGTCTGAGAGAGGGAATGGGCTCCCAAAGCCTATTCATGCACTAGAAATAAATGCTGATCCACTACCAGAGGCTCCATAGACCACCCAGTCCTCCCAACTGACACACATGTTCGGGGGTCTGGGTCAGTCCTAAGCTGGTTTCCCCCTTGCTCAGGTCAGCTGTTTCTATAGGTTTCTCCAGCCTGATCTTGACCCTCACTGTCTACAACTGGATTCCAGGAGTTGGGCTCAGGGTTTAGCTGTGAGTCTCTGCTTCTGCTTCCATCAGCTACTGGATGAAGGCTCTAGATTTTTGTTGTTGTTGTTGTTGTTATGTGTTTGAGCAAGCAAAATACACATCATGTAGTTACTCTAGGTTTATTTTTTCATGTCTGTAGCCAGGATTTAAAGGGGGGGGTCTTCCTTTATCAAAACTGATTTTTCTTAACCCAGAGTGAATCCAGAGCCACACATTTCCTGCAAAACTTCTCTTCCAAAGTAACATCTTTTGACTTCCATTTTGAAGAAATGGGGATATGATATAGAAATGATGGGAAAAGGGTAGATTACTCAATCTACTTTATTCCAAAAAACAACTGTTAATCTCAAAATGTTGGGAAATTTAAGTACTTGTCCCTTACAGCTCTCTTCTCCCCACCCAGCTGTAGAACTTCCATGCAAACAAGGTTGAGCAAACGAGGTTGTTCTCAGAACTTTCTGGTGTGCAGTGCCTGTGCCTTGACCCTAGGTGTGGGTGGCGCATGACTTCCTCCTATGCTTAGCCAATCCCCTGGCTTGGGTATATAAGCCCATCACTCTCTGTAATAAATGGCAGCAGCTTCTTCACTTCTCGTGGTGGTCTGTTAAGTGTTTCAATCCCGACACCCTCCACCAATCTTGGTACTCTGGTCCCACAGGCATGACAAGTGGAGATCCCACCGAGATTTGGCAAGTGAATCCTGGGTGGGGTCCCTCTATAGCAGGCAGGAGCGCATTGGGGTAAACAAGGTACATACAACAATATGGGAACTGCTTCAATTAAGAATGAAATGAAGGAACAAATAAGAAAACTTTTTTAAA